TTAATTGTTGTTACATGCATTTATATAATATATATGTTGTATATGTATATTTTATATATTTCTAAACACAACATACTAGTATTATAATGTTGCTTGTACGTGTATCTTCAAGCTGGCCATTTGGAATTGGTATACTCTTCCCTGGAGAAGTCTATTGTCCCAGCATTCCTTCATTGCCTGAAGTTTTTTGTGTAGAGCTGAGACTTATGGGCTTTTCCCTGTCCGTGTTAGCATGTCTATTGTTGTCCTTATTCAGCCAGTCATGATGGTAAGACTTTATTGGTTTAGCTTCTGACTTCCCTAGAAGAGACAATCTCATAACAATAAAAAAAAAAGGACTGGGTGATGTTCAATGGATATTTTCTATTCCAGTCCTTTTTTTTATTGTGCTTCTTACACTTAATTGTAGACAGGTGTAAAACAGAGAAGAGGTAACAAGCACGTGGTAGAATGTAGATTAATAAATATGCCTGGGACTAGAAACCTAGCCAACTACCCAGGGCTGGTGAAGTCATGCATCTTGGAGGAGAGCCTACAATGGTCACTTTATTAAACTAGCATAATCTATAGCTACATTCTGAAAATGTGTTACCTCTTCTCTGTTTTACCCATCCTCCTTCCTCTGCATCTAGCTGGCGGCTCTTTATTCTTCCCAGCATCCTTTCTGCCCCGAAAATCCTGCCTATTGGCCATTCAGATTTTATTAAACCAATCAGAGTGACACATCTTCACAGTGTACAAAAAGAGTCTCCAATTAATCATGTCAGTTTCCCCAGTGTGTTCGTTTATCTATTAATTTAGTTTTGGTCAGTTTAACACAAGATAGTCACCTGGAAGAGGAAACTTCAGCTGAGGAATTGCGTCTGTCATACTGAGCTTGGGGTATGTCTGTGGGGGCATTTTCTGGATTGATGGTTGATGCTGGAAGTCCCAGCTCACTGTAGGTGATACCACCCCTGGGCAGGTGGTCCTGGATTGTGGAAGAAAGGAAGCTGAGTCAGTCAGTAGGCAGCCTTCCTGTGCTGTCTCTACCTTAGATCCCACCTCAGGGTTCTGCCTGGAGATCCTGCCCCGACTTCCCTCAGTGACGGAGTGTGCCCTGTAAGATATAAAAACTTTTCCTCCCCAACTTTCTCTTGGTCAGTGTGTTCTATCACAGAACTCAGACAAGTCTTTTCAAGTTTATAGTTTCTTTCTTCCATCTACTAAAATCTGCTCTGAACTCATCCGGTTATTGTGTTTTTCAGCTCTGAGTATTATTTTTGTTTCTTGTGAATAACTCTGCCTCCTCTTCATGCAGCCCATCCCTGCCCCTGTTCTCCTTTCACCCTCATCCATCTTGATGACAGTTGTTCTAAAGTAGTTGTCTATCATGTCGAACACACGGCTTCTTCACATACGGGTCTGCTGATCTGTTTGGTTCCTTTGAATGAGATACACTTTTCTTTTGTGTTGTGTGAGGTTTTTGCTGAAAACTGGACATTTAAGTCTGTGGTAGCTTCAGGTTTTGCCCTCTTGGATGCCTTTGTTTTGTTTATGGCTGAATTGTATCTTCAAGCCAGGTATCAATCTGAAGCAAAAGTTTAGGCTTTGTGGATCTTTCTGACCCTGTATCTTTTCCTGGTCATGCCTCATAGCTTTCTAACTCCTGGAGATCCAGCTGCTTTTAAATGACTTAGTGCAAAATTGTCATTCATTCATTCATTCATTCACATATTTATTTATTTAGAGACAGGTCTCTCCTGTGTAGCCCTGACTGTCCTGGAAATTGACTGGCATTTAGCTGGGGAAAACTGTGGTGAGTAGATCTTTGAAAATCCCTGGAATCCATGTCACCTGTCAGAGTCTTCAGCAATGTCAGTTTGTGGATATCTGACTTATAAATAAGGTTTTCCTTAGGCTCTGGCTCCATCCAAGACTATCTCTAAGAGTGCTTGAGATGGGAGATGAATATTAGCTCCCACTCTCCTAAAGGATAAAACAGACCAAAGTGAACTACAGCTTACCAGCCAGGAATCTACCTACACTCTCACATTTCAAAACAGTTACTGATGACAGTTTTAGCTGTCTAGATGAGGACAGATCCCTGCATCGTGGATGTAGGGAGATTCCTGCTGCTTCCCACTCTGACATCTCTCTCTCCACCTCTCATCTCTCCTCCTCCTCTCCTTACCCACCCCTGCCATTTTAAAGTAATCGCTCATGATGTACTTAGCTCATGTTGACCTTCTGTTTATTGGGGCCCACCTCAAGCCTGGTTAATGTTACACAGCATAGCAGAGGCCCAACCAGGAGGATGAGAGTTCCAGGTGGATAGGAAGGTAAGAGTCAAGTGTCCTCAACAACAGGTAGGGAGTAAGATGCAGGAGGCAGGGAGGTAGATAGGAGGTTGGAGGGGGTTTTGTTCTGGGAGAAGACACAGCATGAACAGTGATCTGGAGAGAGGCAGCTCGAGCATGCATGAGATGCCGTGGGCAGCTGCTTTCGGGGTTCAGCATCTATGAGGCCTCTTGTATCGCCTGGTGCTTGTGAAGCCTCTGTGATAGTCTACTAGGGGTGCCACAACACAGTCACACAGATCTTAAACAAGATTATCTTCTTCTCTCAGTTTGCAAAGCAACAAGTCTAAGGCCAGGGTGTCAGCACAGTTGGTCCCTCTCTCCTAGCTTCTGGTGAATTGACAGCAATATCTGGTGTCCCTCAGGGTGCAGGAGCTTTGCCAAGATCTCTGCTTCCCTTCTCTCATACAGCTGTCTGTGTGTGCCTGTCTATATATATATATTTTTTTCAAGACAGGGTTTCTCTGTATTGTTTTGGAGCTTGTCCTGGAGCTCGATCGGTAGACCAGGCTTGGTCTTGAACTCACAGAGATCCACCTGCCTCTGCCTCCCGAGTGCTGGGATTAAAGGTGTGAGCCACCACCACCCGGCTCGCTGTCTATATATTTTAAAAACTTTTTTAATGCTTCATGTTTCATATACACTATGCTTGTGTGCATGTGTGCATGCGTGTGTGTGTGCATATGTGTGAATGTGTGCATGTGTGTGGGTGCGTGTGTGTGCGTGTGTGTGCACGGGTGCCAGTGCAGAGGTCAGAGGATAACTTGCAGGAGTCAGTTCTCTCCCTTCTACCATGTGGGTTCTAAGAACTGAATGTACGTCATCAGGCTTTGCAACAGTAACTTGTACCTGTACTCCACTGTAGTAACCTCATCTTGATGAATCACATCTGCAGTGACCCCATTTCCCAATTAGGTTACCATTCTGGGGCACTGGGGCTGGGTAGAATTTTAACATACAAATTAAGGAGATAGGGACATGGTTTCACCTGGAATAGCTTGCCAGAAGATGCATTCTACATCATGCATCCCTTCTTGATCCCCAGTCCTGAGAACTTACCTATACTAACTTGAAAGCGTCTCTCTCAATACCCCATGTGACTGTTAGGGACCAGTCCCCCTCTGTTTCTTCCATACTTGCTTTGTGATACAGAAATCCTCACCCCACAGTCCTTGGGGTGTTCTATCTAAGGTCACTATGTGATCACTTCTGGGAGGTGCACTTGCCTGATGCTCTAGTCAGAAAACAGAACACGAGGTCCATCTCTCAGTTACCATTGACACTTTAAAGAAATGGCCATTTCTTCACTTGAGCCGAACTCATGACCCTTTGAAGTGCCATCAGTTTGTATAATTTTCCCAACCTTCTCTCCTCTAGGGTAAGGAACTATTTAGTGTTTATGGAGCTGACAGGCGCCTGCTTGTTGTTCACAAGATATCTTGCAAACTATGAGCAGTGGCTTCTTTTGTTTCACCTTGTTTTTATAAAGTTTTATTGTAACATATCTGTGCCCATTATTTCACAAGTTATCCATGGCTGCTTCTGTACCAATAGTATTTGCCCTAGTAAACTGTGTAGCTAAAAACTACTTGTTCTCTGGCCCTTCATTGAAAAGGTTTGTTGATCTCTGGGGTAAACTTTTATAATGACCTATGCCACTCTATTCTTACGTCTTTCCTCTAAAACCATGCTCAGAGAGTAGCCTGCAGACATGAGGAATGGCAGACGGAGGGGAATAAGCCTTCCTGTATTTGGTTTGTGAGTACAAATTCAGAAAACAGGCATGTGAGTGTGTAAATAACCACAGTGCACAGTTTTGTCTTTTATGATGAATTTCAATAAGAAGCAAGCCACCACACTGTATCACCATGACCTTGGTACAGTGGAGATGTATGGAAGCCTTGAGTTTGTTACCATGGAGATGCATGGAAGCCTTGAGCTTATCTAGGTCAGAGTCCCTCAAGGACACCTTGGGGCCTCTCAGAGAAGCTAAGCAAAGCCCCATTGTGGCCAACAAAGCCAACATCCTGCCGTTCTGTCTTGATATGCCTTAGAAGGCCAGTGAACACAGCCCCTTCTCTAGAACTGTTTACCACCCAGTCAGTCTATGCATGGTATCTAGGAAGCCAGGCCACAATATTGATCTCATACTTTCCCTGATCAAGGTGGCAGAGCTGGGACTTAACTGGCCAAAGTCCAGAGACTGACTGTGTGAGAGTGAATTAATCTCCCCCACTTACTATAAAGGAAATGAAAACTATTTACTCCTTCCTCCTGAAACTTGGCAATTTCTAAAACATATCAGAACATGTCTTCATTTTAATGAAATTCGTTCTTAAATATCAAAATTTTCTTTGGGGTGTTCAAGGTTACACATGACCAAGTCTCAAATTCAAATGGAAGATGCAATTTGTGGGTCTTGCCAAACTGGTACTCATTGTATCCTGTTTGCTGATGACCATCACTTACAGTAGTCCTTTAATGCAATTTCTGTGGCTCACTTGAGCATGCCTCTGGTGTGGGACTGGGGTTACCCAGGTATTGTCTATAGGAGAGACCCAGTTGCTCTGGAAACCTTGCCTACCCTCCCTGGGGACAGTCCAGTCCCCCCCCCCCCGTTTCCACCAGACCATCTGACTAACACAGACCTTCTCCTTCTAGCCCTGGGCCTGGAGGCACACACTGCCAGGGTGCCAGCGTAGAACATGCCGCCTGTGAGAACCTGCCCTGCCCCAAGGGTGTGCCCAGCTTCCGGGACCAGCAGTGCCAAGCCCATGACCGACTGAGCAGCAAGAAGAGGGGCCTGTTGACAGCAGTGGTGGTTGATGGTAAAGCCCCCCCTTTCAATGTAACCTCCCTCTTCCTTTTTTCCAAGAACTGACCCACTTAGGGTATAACCCACTTAGGGGTACTCATAATCCACAACTCCCATCCCATTTGAGAGCACGCCTGTCCTCAGCCCAAGTTAGCCATGGCCCTACTCCTGCAATAGTAGAACTGAATCCTGACAACTTGAGGCCTCCCCACATAGGCCATAAAGGCAGGGCTGGAGGGATGGCTCAGAGGATAAGAGCACTGACAGGCCATAAAGGCAGGCAGTAGGCTAGATTCATTTGCACAGGACAAGTGTGTCAGTGTCTGTTTTCCATTGCTTTGTGCTCTGAGGTAGCTAGAGTAGAATGGTATGTCTGCATGTGCACCATTTTGCTTTCCTGAGTTCACTTTGGGTTGGCTTTACTCTTTGCTTGGAAGACTTTGAGAACTGTGGACAGTCTATGGAAGAGGGTAACCAACACAGGTCACTTTCCAAGAACTTTCTTCCCCACCAGGAGGCTGCCTGCCATAAACTGACACAGTATTTCCAGCACCAAGAAACAAGTCGAAGGAGGTGTTGGGTCATGTCTCCATAGAATGTGTGATATCTGGTCATTGTAGGTGAGGATACCCCAAGGCCTAGTCCAGAGTGTTGTAAGGACATGAAGACAGAGTTTTCTGTTCCTCCTGGTCCCACAGCCATTTAGTCTCATATTAATTATAAACTGTTTGGCCAATGGCTCAGGTTTCTTATTGACTAGTCCTCTCTTAATTATTAACCCATTTTTATTAATCTATGTATCTCCATGTAGTCTTGGCTTACCAGAGAATTCCCAATGTCTTGCTCCCTCAGCAGCTACCTGGTATTTCCTCTGGCAAATGCTTCCTGCCTTCCCTCTTCCCAGAATTCTCCTAGTCTGGTAGCCCCACCTATACTTCCTGCCTGGCTACTGGCCAATCAGCATTTATTCATCAACCAATAAGAGAAACATATATTCACAGCATACAGGAGAATATCCCCCATCAAGGACACCCTGAGGCCTAGTGTTGGTTTTTTTTTTTTTTGCCTAAAACTCCTTCCCTTTGAGAAACATGACTTCATATTGTAATGCTGAAAATATGGTCCCATTTATCAATTACACCCTAAACCAGGCACAACTAAGCTCCACATTCACCGCCTCTTTGAGTATGCAAAAAAAGCACTAGAGGATGAGAGTGACGGGCTATGTGACATCTAAGCTCCTGAAGCTGACACAGTTGATTATAACCCACTGGCTCTCCATACTCAGATTCTCTGCCAGGAAGCATGAACTCACAGACACAATGAAGGTTGCTTAGAACTGAGGCTGCTGGGTCTGCTTTCTATAACCTCCAAATGGCTTACAGAGAAATGGATTCTGGTACCATCTTGGTTTTCTTCCCTGTGAAATCCCCACTCTGGCACCTGCAATTACAAGTTCAAATGTTCCTGACTGCTTTTGGAGAAACTGAGATAACCCTGACAACAATAGCTTTCAGATCTGCAGCTCTCTCTCTCTCTCTCTCTCTCTCTCTCTCTCTCTCTCTCTCTCTCTCTCTCCCTCCCTCTCTCCCTCCCTCTCCCTCCCTCCTTCCCCTCTCTCCTTCTTTTAATTAATTAATTTATTTAATTATTTATTTTGTTTTTCAAGATAAGGTTTCTCTGTGTAGCCCTGGCTATCCTGGAAACCCCTCTGTAGACCAGGATGGCTTTGAATTAGAGATCTGCCTGCCTCTGCCGCCCAAATGCTAAGATTAAAGGCATGTGGCACCACCACCTGGCTCAGATCTGCATCTTTTAGCCAGCCCAACAAGCTGACCTCTCAGTTTTGAGCTGTCTTGTAAAATAGCACATGGTGTTTTCAGTGGTACCTGCTTAGCTGGGGACTTCTATGGTGATAGGAAGTTTATTTCCCAGACATTTTCCTTGTACTTAAAAAGACACCACCGTTGGGGGCTGGGTGATTATGGCTGTGCTGCCACTTAGCCAGCAGAATTCAGGGGGGGCTCCGCTGTCTTGCCCTCCCACCTTTCCCTGAAGAGAAAGGAGACATGAGACTTCCCTCTCCCAAATAAAAGGGTGCTGTTGGGGGCGCCCTTACTTCTCCTGACTGGCCATTGATGTGGTCCATGAACAGCCTACAGGCTTCCTCCTACCTCAGGTGTGTCCAGACCCCTGACTAGGACCGAGACACTCCCAGAGAAAGCTGCCATGGTCCAGTGCAGCAGCACGCTCTGAGATCCGCCCCATTGCAGAGCCTTCCTTGTCTCCAGAAAGCCAGTTAAAATGGTTTGACGCCTCCTTTGTCCTCCCTTTCCTAGAGCCAGTAGGCTTTAGTGATGAGACACGCTCACACCCTTTCCTCTTCACTCAGCTCTCTGGGGTTATTTGTTGCTTGATTGCTCCGTTTTTTAACCCCTTAGGAGTCGTATATTTAGGACAGAGGTCTCACTTGAGCAATCCATCTTAAACTTTTTCCTATTCACTGCTAACCACTTTTGAATAGCTGAGTGCTTCGGTTCCAGTAGCAGACTCCCCTCACGGAGAGGCTCCTTGAGGACTTCGATGGGCCAAGAATGCATTTTCTCCCCCGTTGGCCTCTTGTTTCATTCTGCCCACGTAACAAATAATTAGATCTGGTGGGTGCTACCTTTAGCCTCTAAAGGCCAGCCGTATTTGATAAGGATAGCTTACAGACTGGTGGTGTTGGTGGCATTTAGCCTTTGAAGGGGAAGCCGTGGGTTCAGGGCTTTGTGAGAGTAGTTTGACCCATTGTCCTCTGGGGTGAAATTGCCATGACTTCTTACATATGTGGGTCCCTTTCCCTCAGTATGACCAGAAGCCAGCTTTCTAAAAAGCATTTTAGAGGGGCAACAGCAGAACAATAAGTGGCTGATTCAGATGTCTGATGGTAAGTGTTCCTCTGAAGCCCTGCTTTCTAAAAGGCACAATAATTCCAGCTGAGCCGTGGGAGCATCGATCCCTGTGGTTGGGCTCTGGCTCCTCGAGGTCCTTTATAACCGCCCCATTCACAGCACTGCTATCACTGCAGAATTCTTTGGCGAGTGACGCACAGTTCCGCAAAAGGAAAGCAGTATTTTCTCTCCTCTCTCTCCCCCCCCTCTTTTAAGAAGAATTCTTGCAGAGGTAGGCTTTCCAAAGTCTGGACCACAATTCCATCCCATCTCCAAAGCAAGACCAAGACTCTCCTTAGCAAAGACCCCAAAGAGGAAAAGCCTTCAGACAGAAGCCCCCTGAGGTGGCCGCCTGCCAAAGCAGACTGTTTCTGCTTTCCATGTGGGATCTTGTCACAGTAGAAGTGTTCAAGGGTTCAGACCCGTGCGACCAGGCCAACAACAGGCTCCATGCCCGCTGAAGTGTTAGAAAGCAGTGTCTGGACAAAGTGGTCTTTTCCAAGCTCCTTTGCCTCAGACCGCAGACTCCCCCACCCCACCCCCATCTGAGGGACTAAAGAATGTGAGGGTCAGAGCTGTGATTCCTACTCAACCAAGCAGCCCAGAAGTGGAGGCTCATTGTGACAAAGCTGTAGGGTGTTCTTGAAGCACCCAACGAGGGGCTGGAACCATGATTTCTAAAGAGATTAGGGACTTCTGTAGCCTCCAGGACTTAACCATTGGGAACCCTGCTCCTACTGTAGGCTGCCTTTCTCAAAAATTTCCACGTACAGCCAATCAGGGAGACCCACAACTCCTTTTAAGTAAATCTGTATCCCAACTTTGAATCCTCCGAGGTCAGTGACGGCTCAGAATTCAGAGCCTTGAATGTTTGAACAGCCATGACGGTGGTTCAGCAGCCACGTATCAACACCTCTGCTGGGACCCAAGGGGGCACACGACAGCCTGCCAGGAGGCCCCAATAAGGCGGGTACTCACTCCTGTCAGGGAAGGCTAGCTTTGTAGCCAGATATAGTTTGCCACACATGCAAGAAAACGCTCATTTTTGGAGCTTTTCATATGTCTGAATTGTAATAAGATAGCCAAGCCTTCTCTGTGTCTACCAGCCATGAGACATGGTCTGTCTATATCATAGAGTTCCAATGTTGAGTTATCAGGGAAAAGACTGGTCATGCTGACTGTGGTCATGTGGTGAGTGCTGTTCCAGTTAACTGAGACCTGTCTGTAAGGTGTGGCTTGTGGTGAGGAAAGACTCTGATTGGTCTGTTTATAGTCAGGTGGACTCTATTGACCCAATCCGCTAGAACCGGGACCCTAGAGCCTGGTTATGAAGTCCCGGTGGATAGCTTATGGGAGAGAAGATTGAGCAGCCAAGACAGAAGACAGGCCGGAGCTGGGATGAGGACTCACCTGGCCTCAATGTTAGGAAGATTCTGCCTCAGTAAGACTTCGTAACTGAGTCTGAGAGAGCAGTAAGTGAGCCACAGTGTCCCGTGTTCCTAGTGAAGCTCGGGAGGAATTCCAGACCTCTGTAAGTTGATGCACTCATCAACTCTCAAGCCTCAGAGCCCGTCATGCTCTGGTTGTAGCTCCTCTGGTCAGTGAGCAGCCTTTACCAGCAGGCAGGCCTCCGAGAAGCCAGACAGAAGCTTCTGTCAGACTTCATCTTACTACACACCATCCTTGCCAGAATTCATCCGAGTCCACATTCTAGGCTGCTTTCCTCGCTGTGGGTGGCTGTGCAGCTTTAAAGATTTCCATCCCCTTCTATAGTCCTAGGAAGCATAGTGGTGGCACATGTCTTTAATCCCAGCATTCAGGATACAGAGGCAGGTGGATCTCTGTGAGGTCGAGGCCAGCCTGGTCTACAAAGATCCAGCAAAACAAACGTTTTCTCACTGTGTTTGGAGCTGAAACCCACCACCTCATGTTAGTTAATGAGGTCTTTTTTATCTTGGAGTTTTTAACTTCCCACTCATAGGAGCCTGGAGGGGACTATAAGGAGAGTTATGATGAATTCTGAGCTCCTTTCTCATGGTTTAAAAAGACTATCCTCAATCCCCTTGGGAGAAATAATTATTCCTTGCTAGAAATAGGGACACCCTACATTCTGAGTGTAGTCCTGGGGGCCAAGGGGAGGGGAGTGGACAGATGCAGGGAGTTCTAGCCAGTGAAGGGCCCTCCACCTCTGGCCTCTGTTCTAGAGCCCTGGGGCCCTTGGCTGCCTGAGCCTGAAGGGCATCCTCTGTACATGGCAGAGTCAAAGGCAGGAAGAGCTCAGTAGAATGCCTTGCCTAAGACCACAGACAACACCTGTCCATCAGAGTTACTTCCTCTGATTCAGAGCCTCCGTGTCTCTGAAATTTGTACCAAAGAAGCAAAACAAACAACTTTTATCCCTTTCCATGCTGGAACTTTCCACAGACTCCAGCTTCCCTCAGAACAGCTCTGCCATTATGCCCAAATCCCACTCCCATTTCTGTTCAAATCAGAGCACACACGTAGAAGCCAAAGCCATAAATATTTATGGACGTTGTGATTTGTTTGCAGCAGTACCATTTTATCCCTTGGTATTTGGGGTCCCCGAGGGTTCCTCATTCAGAGTAAACAGTAACGGTCAAAGAACACCAAGATGGAACAGAGAGGCGTGTGGCTGGCCCTGCTGGAGAAAATGTACCATGAGTACTCTGTACCATGGAACAGTGGTAACATACACTACACTCAGTACTGTCGACACTACATAGCATGGTGTTTGGCTTGTAGAAGATTGCAAATGCCTATAATTTATTCTTTATCACATCATCAGTATCATTACTATTATCAGACGAATCACCTTTAATCTCATTACCCCCAGGGTCCAATCAATATGTTAGTCCAAAGGGAATTAAGATCCACAGTTTCAAGCTGCTGCTTCACAATGAGACCTAGAAACGGTATAGAATGTGCCACTGGTGTGCAGGAGACACACTACCCATTCAGACTGCAGAGCTGTGCTGTACCCCTAAGGTGCTCACAGGGAACCTCAAACCCCTGATAACCTCTCATTAATTCCATCCAATAAGCTTCTTAGGAGCTGACCTCAGTCTCTGTCTCTGTCTTCCATACTTCTTCCATCGCTGACTACTTTCTTGGCTAACCCTTACTCCAAACAGGATTAGCCACTTCCAACTGCCTACAGGAAACAAGGCATTCCTTCTAGAACAGGCACTGCTCTCCTTGTGCTCACATTAGACTTGTGTCATGTGACCTGTCACATGCAAGGGTTACTCCACACCTGTCCATCAGAACACAATGGCCTTGAGAAAAACATGTGCCACTCATTGCCCTTTTTTGGAACTGCCTATAGAGTGCTTGGGGTACGATGCTTTGGCCACGCTTGATAGCTTTACTGGGAGAGACTAGACCTCAGTCCACTCTTCAAAGTCCATTGTTTCACTTCCAGAATTGAACCTGAGTCCCAGGAGCTTCTTTCTCATACTTTCAGGTGACTTCCCACAGAGCTGGTTGATCATGGGCTGTCATGCAATCATAAACCCTTGAGACTGGGTAAGACAGCATGTCTGCTAACAAGTCCTCTCCAATGGAATGTCAACACCCTCCAATGCCACATCAGCTGCCAAACCCTTCTGTACCCCTCCCTTGCTTGTCAGAGGCCACCAAAAAAGATTGGTGGAGACAAAGAGCCTGGTGAGGTAGCGTAAGGTCTCTGTTATTCTCTGAAGGTTTCCTTTCAAAATAATCCCATAAATGAATTAGGGTTAGGTGGTAGAGGAGGCAAGAAGGTGCATTACTCTTACTCAGCCACTTACAGCGACGTGAACCATTCAGTTGCTCAAGTATATTTACTAAATCCTATGAACTGCAGTTCTAGTTCTGGTCTTGGGGCAGAAGATGGAAGCATGCCCCTGTCCCCTAATGGTTCCTGTACTTCAGTGTGAAGGTACAGACTGAAAACTCTTCCTCCAAAATATTTGCACCTGGAAGTCTTTCAAACTGAGACTATTTTGGACTTGGCAGTATTTGCATATACAAAATGAGCTATCTTTGTGATGGGACACAAATTGAAGCATGAATTATATTCATGGCTTATATACATGTTATATGCATAGCATAAACATAACATTACATTTTTTAATTTAGTGTACCTGTATTTTGACTGCTCCTATCACATGAGGGCAGGTATGGAATTTTCCATTTGTAATGTCATGTGAGAATTCAGAATGTTTCGGGATTTGAAGTTTTTTGAACCTTGGAGTCTTTAGTATTTCATTATCAATGGAACTTGCATATAAGAAATCTGCCCCCCCCCCTTTATTTTTGAGACAGGTTTTCTCTGTAGCTTTGGAGGCTGCCCTGAAACTCTCTCTTTAGACCAGGCTGGCCTCAAACTCACAGAGATCTGCCTACCTCTGCCTCCTGAGTGCTGGGATTAAAGGTGTGAGCCACCAACACCCAGCAAGAAATCCCTTTATACCTAGGATTTGCTCAAACAATTCTAGACACCAAGTGCCTGTTGTATCCTGTGTTAGGGTGGCAGGAGACAGAGCTCTGGCTTGAAAGCGTCTACGTTGATAGCAGCCTCCTAAAGAGCCAAGCAGAAAGAGGGATCCGCAGGCAGAGAGAACGGCATGGACAAGGGCAGAAAAGCTTAGCGTGTTCTATAAACTCACCACATTGTTCCAGAAGCAGAGGGAACATGGGCTTCCATCTCGCTGCTGGCATGGCTCTCCTGAGTTGTCACTGTGATCTCTGTGTCCCATTCTAGACTTTCGTTCAGTTTCTTCCAGGACCTCCAGGCCTCCTATCACAGCTCTGTAGCCACTGCCCAGCAGCTGGGGCAAGGAGGGAACGGAGTACTAAAACTTTTTCAGTGGAAACACCTAACAATCTTAGGGAGACCACTGTCACAGAGACCGCGCAGTGCCTGTTTCTCCTACGCAGGGCGTTCCTGCTCACCCTCCCCTACTTTCCCATCACCACAGCAGCAGGTCCCAGCCTCAGATTTGACACACAGTCACTTATGCAGAGGCAGGCTAGCTCACACTGTACCTTTGTGCAGCTGGAGTGCTTAGTGACTGCACAGAAAGAAAATGCCATGCCTCTGCGAATGAGGAGAGCCAAGAGGAGGCAGCCTATGGAGCCCCTGGCTCTGCCATTTCCTGAGGCAGGGCATCTTGTTCTGTGCACCATTTTAAACGTCCAGAGGAGCAGGTGGCTGTGCCTAAGAGCAGGGCTAAGTGACTGTGACCTTTACCTGCACTAATCGTTTCCACCCGTTGTTCACACGTGCTTGGTCCCCGCATTCCCTACATACCGCCTCCCAATCAACAGCCACCACCCTTTCCCTCCTCAGATAAGCCGTGTGAACTCTACTGCTCACCACTCGGAAAGGAGTCCCCGCTGCTGGTGGCTGACAGGGTCCTGGATGGCACGCCCTGCGGACCCTACGAGACTGACCTCTGCGTGTATGGCAGATGCCAGGTGACTTGTGCTTCCTACTGTCCTGGGTGGGGCTGTGAAGAACGGGTCCCTCTTCCCCCAAGTTGGACCAGTGGTGGGGCTGAGGCCTTTGAGGGTTAGGGGGAATAGGTTTTCTCAAAGAGGTCCATGCTGCCCTCTGTGGCCAGTGGCTGCCAGTGCAAGCCCTGCCCTCAGTCCGTGACTGAGCATCGTGCCTGCTGCAGTCCTAACCAGCAGCCTCCTGAAACTATTCAAAACTTCCTCCAGACATCTTGATCCACACAAAGAGCCGATGAGTATGAGAAAGGACTGGAGGACTCCACAAACTTAGTTCCGCACTTGGAGGCGCTAAGCAAACACCTGTGCAGACAGTGTCCAGGGAGGTGGGTGTGCCTGGCCTCTGGGGAGCCCTCCACCCTCCACCCCAGGGAGGTGGGTGTGCCTGGCCTCTGAGGAACCCTCCACCCTCTACCCCCACGTCATGATTTGTTAGGAGATTGACAGATAGCCAAAGCAAGGAGGAAGGGAGAAAGAAGAAAGAAGTTCTTTGTTGGCCTCTTGTCAACCTCTACTCATCTGAAGAAGCATCTCCTGGGAGCATCCTCAAGGGAGGATGGAGATGTGATGGCTTTTCAGTGGCCTGGGGGATACAGCTCAGGTGGAGCAGCCTCTGCCTTCAGGGGCCATGATGACTCAGCTCAGCCTGAGTGTGTGAAGAGTCCTGGTGACTACTAACTCTACTCAAGCAGCTGTGGTGAAATGCACAGGCTGGTTATAAGCAATGAACTATTTCCCGCAGTTCTGGGGCATAGAAGTCCGGGGTCTCAGCACGGGGCACATTTGGCTTCTGGTGAGGGCACACTTCTCGTGAATGGTTTCTTGTTGTTCCATCCTCACGTGACGGAGGGGGTGTAGCTGCTCTCTGAGGCCTCTTTTAGAAGATACTAGTCCCGTCCATGAGGGTTCTGCCTTCAGGGCTTTTGGGGAAAGGTCCGTTTCCTAAATCATCACCTTGGGGGTAATGGGAATTGGGGAATACACGTTTTCCGTCCACTATGCCCAGGGATCCTCCTTCCTCAGTCACTTATCACCCTGTGCCGTCACTGTGTCCCCATCAAGTGACCCCATCCACACCTGCTGGAGGCAGACACAGATGCACCATCAGTGTCCCAGCTGGCTCCTGCTGCAAACCGTTTCAACCGAAGTGGGTATTCTCCCTGCGGAGTCCAAGCCGGTCACAGACTGGTTAATTTTTCAAGGAAACATTTAGCAAGGCCCTAGCTCCTCTGGCATTGCCTGATTTTGTTATCAAACAGAAATATGCTGAGTGCCCACACATTTTGGCAAGGACACCTTCCAGGGAAAAGGGCACCAAGGAGTGCTTGAGCAGGACCTTTGGGGATACTTTCATGTAGCAAAGAATGTTCCAGACCCTGTTCTTGGACAGCATGAAGAAAGCCCTTATCGTTATTCCTGAAACAAAGCATTGCTGACGGTTCTCAGGAAGCCTGCTAGCAGGCCAAATGTAGGGTTCGTTTCCTTCCCAATTACATGCTTGCCTGGATCATCCTACAAGTTGGCACATTGCAAACCAATGATGTAATTCTTTTGCTAGCTGCTTTACAAGTCAAAGCACTTGTACCCTTTAGGGCAGTGCCAGCGGAGCCACCCCAGCTTTTGCAGGGATCTGCTTCCGTATTCTCGCCAGCAAGAATGTGCTTCTAAAAACCCTGAGATTCCCCAGCCAATGAGGTTTGTGTTCACACTGAGCACGACTTCAGCTCCCAGTAGTCCGTGCCAATGGGCATGTCCCTGAAATTGGATTTAACCACAGGCTTTTCAGCTGTGAATGTTCCATGTACTATGACAATGATCTCTCAGATCCTTGTCCAGATGTGAACCCTGTGTACAATGATGACCAGCATGGAAAGAAAGGCCTGTAGGTACAACAGTGGCGTGAATATTATGGGAGTAACCAACCCTTTCTGGTTGGATGTAAGCTGTACTCCACAGGAGAAAATACTACTACAAATCTGGCTGAAAGCCTGTGGCTGGGAAACTCACAGGTCTCAGGGGTGGACTTGCTGCTACTGTTGTGCTGAATGAACAGAGTATCAGACTTCCTTCTATATTCGTGTCCCTGTGTCCCTAGATTGGTGTGGTGCTGGGTTCTCATCAGAGACTGTTCTTCGTGCAGTGGATGTGGTTAATACAGAAACTCACATCTGATCAAAGGGCAGGGAGTAAGTGTCTGCAGAGCGCTTAGCCACAAATGGGATGTCTGTATCAACCCCTGAAGGATCAGCAAGGATTGCAGAAAGATTTTAAGAGTCAAATATTGGGGAGGATTGTTGTAAAAACAGTGTCTTCTGGACAAGACAGGACTACAACACTCAAGCTGGAGCAGTAGTGGAATGTGGGAGACCGACCTAACCCAGGGGGTCAGGCCCAGGGAGAATTAGGGTTTACTCAAGGGCCACTGAGGAGAGGAGAGGAACCATCTCAGTCCCTGAAACTGGCTGTGGTAGAGCCTGAGTATAAGAGGCTGTTACAGAAGCTCATCTTGCTGAGAGGAGCTGGTGGGCTTGCAAGACCGACTAGGAGATGAGTAGATTCCAGGTGCATTTGGAGAATTTTGGTGTGTTCGACTTTAGCAATGCTGTGACCAAATACCTGAAAAATCTACCGCAAGAGAGGAAGATTTACTTAAGCTCAGTTTCAGGGGGCTTCAGTCCACCATGCAAACAAAAGCTAGGCAGAGCAGAGCAGTTCACACCCGTTCACACCAGGCTCTAGAGAGAATGTCTGGGCCAGACCTTTTTCTTTTTCCTCTTTTATTCTACCTGGACCCTCCACCTTGGGATGCCGCGGTCTCCTCCCTTAGTTAGTCCTCCCTGGAAACACCCCCAAAATAAACCCCTAGTCTTGATTTACTAGTATCCTAGACACTTCTTGTGCTAATCAAGGGTGACAGTCATTAACCACTGGGGAAGACAAGCTGAGATGGTCTGTAAGACACTCCAGAATCCCTGGGTCTTGCCATGTTTGAAGGGTTCTGGAACCAATCCCCAGTGATACAGTAAGTGATACAAGCAAGTAAAAACTGGAGATAGTGAGGGTGGTACACTGGACAAATGATACAGAAAAGGTCAAAGGGGAGGAGGACGAAGACTTGGCCAGTAGGTGTGATCACAGGAGGCTTTTGCTGAGGACCATAGTGCAAAATCTGTAGGCATGGAATCCATGATTCGAATCAGTAGAGACCAGTACTTATCACGCCTGGGTAAAATATGGCCCCCCACACATGGTCTGCCCTGGCCCCCTCCAGCACATGGCTCTGAACTAGATCTCTTCTGACTTAAATCTGCACATGTCCCAGGCACCGTCCTGACCACAGAGAATCCGTGCTTAGTTTGCCAGTTCCGTGCCATCTTGTGCCTTCAATTACTCCATCAGGCACTCCTGCACGTAGACATCACACACCCCTGCTTCTCCAGCAGAACAGCACCCTGACCAGCACATGCTGGCCAGGAAGTCTAGAGCTCAACAGAGGAGTCCTGAAGATTATTTAAGGGCAGAGTGGCCCGGGATCGTCAGCATGCCGTGGGAAGGCTTTGGAGCGCTTACTGTTTGGAGGGTCCTTGGGTACAGTCATCTCCGGCTCATAAGTGCAGTCAGAGTGCCACCAACACTCAGAAGTCCTGGCTACAAATTGTGCTTCTGGTAGCTTCCGTTTCAAAAGAAAAGTGTCTGTCCCTGCCAAATATATTATAGACTCCTTCTACTGACTTGAGCAAAGAGAAAAAATGTCCTGGTGGCCAGGTACTTTGGCTGTTGCCCTTCGGGCCTCAGATTCACTGCTGTCCTGACATGGATGTCCTTGCAGGCCTGGATTCCAAATGCAAGAGGTGAAAAACATAGCACCAGGCAGCATGGGCACACCATGAAGGCCTTCCCTAGCCTGAGAAACTGACAGATAACCTAAGGGGCTATCTAACTTGCATCTGTTCACTACTGATGTGCAAATCTCCCTTCACTGCCATTGGGACAAGTTATGGTGACCACATGAGGTGTTTACATAGACCATCCGGAGCTGCTTAATCAGGAAACCCAGTGAATTGTAAGGCAAGCAGCCAGCTGTGAAGCCAGAGACTTGCTGTGGCCGTATGGGAGTGGTTTAGAAATCATAGGGACATGGTGGAAGAAAGACCTAGAGCCAGGAGCACGTGACAGAAATAGGGAAGCCAAAAGGAAGCAGATGCAGGTGATACAGAGAGGCTGGGGTGAGGAGTCAGTGGCTGTGCCACCAACAACCTGCGTATAGTACAAACAGAAAAGTGGGATGCAGAACCTCACATAATTTTAGCAATGCGGAATTGGATGAGCCTCTTGCTCTGAGCGAACTCTATGATCTGGGATGCTCCATCTCTTGGCCCTTTGTAAGGTTCCATTGAGCAACTTCACAGAGTAAGAAGTAAGGCAGCAGCATGGTGTGGCCACACCCTGCTGCCTGCATCACTACCCTGACGTTCCTGCTGTGACGAAGTAGAGCTGAGTAGTCCTCACTTCTCAGAGACATGTAGATATTTCTATAGGTGCTTTAGGGTAGCAGGACTCCATAATACATGTTTTTAAACATATTTCATAAATTCATAAAAAGATAAAAAAGCAAACATCTGATCTGAATTCTGGTGGTTGTTGGTTTTGGCTTTTTTAATGACAATTAAAATGCCTCTCAGCTAAATCAGTCCCACAAGTCCAGCAGGGCATCCCCTTCAAAGTAGCACTGCATCTTAAAACACAGGTGAACCCAGCTCTTTGGTTTTCTAGAAAATTGGCTGTGATGGCATCATCGGGTCTTCAGCCAAAGAAGACAGGTGTGGCGTCTGCAGCGGGGATGGCAAGACCTGCCGTGTGGTGAAGGGTGACTTCAGCCACTCCCGGGGCACAGGTGAGTGCTGGGTGTGAGGGCTACATTGGTTACGGGACCGCTGACACACGCTGTGTGTTTCGTCTTCTTTGCCCCAGTGCTAGTGGTTGCATGACTTTTTGTATGTCACACTAAGACACCGAGACTTCTTGAGCTTTCCAGCCACGGGCTGCTTTGTTCAGGAACAGGAGTGGTTTGCTGATCTGTCATAGAGGGCGTCAGCTGGTGACATTCAGTAGGGGTACTGAGAGCATCTGTGGGAGAGAATGAGGAAGAATGAGCAGGCAAATGACGTACAGAGTGACCTCTCAAAGTCTTAGTGAGAATTCATTCACTAACATCAGCAGAGGTGATATCATCAGGGGAACATGAACTGAGTAACCCTGAGCTGAAATACATCTATTTTAATTCCTGTGAGTTCAATTTGACCCAATGAGAGAACAGAGCCATGACTGTAAGTCCCTGTCTCACAGAACAGCCCATAGGATAAGGCAAAGTCTGTACGTGTCTTCCCCGGTGTATAAGAACATGACATTTAGAAAGTATGAAAAGGACGTGCTATTCAGGACCTTGTGAAAGCAATCCCAGAGATAACTGCAAATGCAAAATTAAAATTAAAAACAGAGTGTCAGGGCCAAAGAGATGCTTGGGTGGTAAAGGTACTTGTTGCAAAGCTTGAACATGACCTGAGTTCAATCCCCAGAACCCACATGGTGGAAATAGAGAAACAACTCCCACAAGGTAGCATTTGACCTCTACATACACACTATGGCATATATACATGCGCATACATGTGTATAACACACACACACACACACACACACACACAAACACTGAATGAATGTTAGAATCTCTGTACATCACATTGTTCCAGAGAGAAATGGAAGCCGCAACTACTAGAGTGAGTTCATCTGGGGAGGCTCTGCAGCGTGCACTGAACACTCAAGTCTACCCAGATTTAAAACATAATTGACTGAAATTAAACTAACTTAAAAATTATGGCTACATCTCAGGTTCCCAGCTGCCAGCAGGGATGGTGGGTCTTAATCAGACAGTGAAAGAACATCTTTGTTGTCCTTCTGTGGGCAGAGCAGCTGTAAAACTTAGCTGATTTCTTCTGTTTGCTTCAATGTATCTGATACTGTTTTATCTCTAGTCACCCTGGATTTGCCTTGTGTAGTTACTGCAGATGGAAATAAAGCTTCCAGAGTTGGCAAGGGGTTCCTATTATAGTATTGATTTCTTTTGGTAAGTATTAGAAACCATATTTGGAACCATCAAGATGACTCAGCAGGTAAAGGCACTTGCTGACAACCCTGATAGCAGGAGTTCAATCCCACGTAGGGTAAGGAGAGAAATGACTGTTGAGAGTTGTCCTCTGACTTCCACCTGCACACTATAGTGAGCAGGTGCTCACTCATGCATGCAAGTACACACATACACACACACACACACACTCACGTGCGTGCATGCACACCCAGACAATAACAACAACAACAATAATAAATAGAAGCCCCCTTTAAATGGAAGGTTACACTATCCTTCATTAATCAGAACTAAGTGAAGGTCTATCTTTCTGCATTAGATGGGTTGAGCACAACCACACCCACCCCTCAGTTCAGTAGAACACTAAAGAAGGTTCTATCACAGCCTTTGAAACCCCCTACCATGTGGGACATAGCAGCTCACATGCCAGACAGCCCAGGGTAGGACAAAAGCTTTCATTTTGGCGTAGGAAGATGCTTCATCCTCCCTCAGTGGCACTTCGTCCCACCCTCCCTTCCCTACCTACCCAGTGCTGGGCTCCATCTGCGTGTTCCCCCTGGGGAGTGAGCTTATGTGGCTGTGGAAGTAAGTCTCCCAAGGAAAGAAAATCACATTGGGGGCTGCTTTGGTGTAACTGTCTCACCAGGACTTCTAGTTTAATATGCTTAGTCATAGCTGCTAGAGTATAGACCTCCTCGCCCCAACAAAGCATTAGCTTCATCTGCCTGTGACATTGTCCCTTCTGTGCAGCTAGCTGTCAAATGTCATGCTTTAATTTTAAAGCACAATGTGGGAGGGTTTTGTCTTTTTTATTTTTAAATCTTTACCTCTAAGCCTATGAGCACAAGATCATAGCAGTGTTGGTTTGGTTTATTGAAAAATCTGTCTGTAATGTTCGTTGGCATGTGAGTAATTATTGGATGTGTAGGATTTGATGGTCTAGACCGCATAAACACACTATACTGACAATGAGTCAACTGCACACTGCCCCCCACCCAGGGAACATTTATTTGGCATGTATACATTTCAATATCAGACATGACAGTTAACAGTCACCACATTGGTCACAATCAAGGTGGGGCACCATGCCAGGGCCTGCATATAGATTAGTTATAAAAGCTGATTTAAAAAGTGAATAGCAGCCAGAGTAGAAAAAAAGACACTTCTGGCTGAAGGTGAATCCATATATTTGAGTGAGACTCAGCAGAGAATTTCTGTGAAGGTCCAGGTCATGTGGCATCTCAGTGACCCCCAGTCAAGTGGATTTGCTTATCTTGTTGGTACAGATAGGAAGGTAGCTTTCATCTGTGCCCAGCTCTGAAGAAAGATAATGGGAGTAATGTCTTATCATCCTTCAGGGCGAATATCAAAGAGAAACACCATACAGAGAGATAAACCAACATCAAATGCAGGAATTTTGCCAGGTCCTGCATGAAGGCCTGACCTCAGGCTGAACTCTCCCAGGTCTGCTTACAAAGGCCCCTGAGTGGAGAGTCCAAGGTAGGTACACACAGTGCCCTAGATAAGCGAGAAGCCTACCATGGAAGACCTCAATACCTCACCTGTGGAACTGGCTTCCTAAGTGTGGATGCCTGCTGCCCCAACCCATCTCCTCCCAGTCCTGAACAGACAAGGTCTTTTAGCTCTTCACAGGTAGAAGAAATAAACTCAAACCGACCTTCTAATGGATGGGAGTCTTCAACTGGACTAAAGTGGCTAGGTTATTAAAATTTAGTAGGTTGAAATTTTCTGCTATGAGGCTTTTCCTTCATGTGTGAACTTATCATTTTAATGTTGTCATCTTTAGTTCATCCTCTTCTTTGGAACTGAAAAGGTGACTGGGTCCCATGGATATCCAGTATGCAACCAGCCCCAAGTTCCCAAAGAGGCCAGACCGGGATGCTTGATGGGTTCTGAATCCCTTTGCACTTTGTTCTTAAAGAGACAGTAGGTTCGCAGCAGAGAGGCTGACGTGGTCTTCCCTTTTGAATATGGATAGACACCCACCGTGGTGTGTCTTCAACAATTAACATCTGAGCCACTTCCACGTCCTGAGCTCTGGGCTCTATCGCTAGGTGCAGGGAATGGGTGTTCCATGGGAAAGTCGTGGTTATAGGATGGTATGAAAGCTAAGTTCTACTGTGATTGAGAAGAACTAAACTGTGCACAAACAAACCACAACCTTTTTCTTTTTCTCAGTCAAGAACAATCTTTGTATGAAGGTGTCCACATGTGTGATGGCAAAGGCGATTCCCAAGTGTTTCTCATGTAAGATGTTTGACTATATGGCATGGCCCTGAAGGTGACATGCTTGGTGTGGGGCTCTTGCTTACATGCTTGAGTGTTTTCTGAAATTAGTGAGAATGAATCATGAATGAAGCCATGGGTAAAACAAAAGCCAATGGCTGCCTATATATGACAAATGCAGATCAATTGCCAACAATGAAAAACTAAACTAAAACCAATATTAAAGACAAAAGAACCAGAAATTGAGAGGCTAGACAAAAATATTACTTAGAGTGCCACAGGTAGCTTTGTATTCTTATCAACCACATTTGGTACTTTAGCAAAAACAAAACAAAACAAACAAACAAACAAAAAAAAAACGCTCAGACAAGGAAGCTAGTCCCCCACAGGGAAGTCTCCTTATCTCCCTATCACTGTACTGGATTTTCCTGTTGGCAGAGGGGATCTTGATGCCATCATGGTGGAGATGAAATCAGTGGCCTTGATCTGACCAGACTATACTGACCACACATTCCAAGGGTCAGATAAAGCAGGGATTAGGTTCATGGGTCTCTTGAGTACAAGGAGGTCTTTCCAGCTATAATCAAGAGCCACCTTCACCAACAAACAGTAACAAAGATGGTCCCCAACTCAATATTTCACACCACAGTTTTCAGCTTCATGGTCCTGAGGAAGCGATCCATTTTCAACGGAACCAGAACTTTGAATTTTGGATCTCATTCTGTTCTAGGTTTGCAGTTTTCAGTATAATCCTCTCCCATGATGCTGTGGCAGCCAGCCACTGTTCCTACAAGATCATAAAGATCATAGTGTAGTGCACACACTTTTGACTTAAGATAGTCTCAACTCACAATGGGTGTTTCAGGATGTGACCAAATTATAAATTGAAGAGTCTGAATTCTCATAACAATTTTTGTCAATAGAGAAAAGCAGAAACTTAGCAAAATCCTTTCTGGAATCTTCATGTTTTGTTTAACAAAATAAAATTTCTTTGTTTTCCCATTCATTGGATACAACATAGAAAAAGAATGTCAGAATTCATCAGGATTAGACTTCTAGCATTTCAGTGATGTTTTTCCTCAGTATTTAGTCAATGCTGCTTAACAACAAAACTATAGACCCAAATCTTGTAGAAGAAAATCTACTTGGAAAGTTCGGGTAAATGTAATTGCACAGGGGAAAAAAGACCATAACCTGACAATATTAACTGGTAGAGTCAAGACAGACTGTTGATTGAGGGGGGAAAAAATGGTGTGCGTCCTAAACAATGGCAAAGGCTTGGTTTTCCCCCATGGCTTCTTCACAAAACCAAATTGTTTCCCTCTTGCTTGGTGACTGAAACTGTAATGGAAAATTACTACTCCAAAGTGAAGCCTTGCTCCATAGCCTATATGAATCAACCTTCTGTATTCCCAGACTGATTCTCTCCTTCTGTTGTGTCATGGGACATCTGATCTGAGGGACAAGATGCTTTTGGACTTGATGATGGCACTCTTTCCTTTCCTGGTCACTATTCCTACCACCTAGGGTAGGCTTTGAGCCCTGGGTCAGAGCTGGCAAAAAAACAGTGAGAGGCCAAGACCTGCATTTCATTTCAGGGTCTTTCTCTTTCTTGGTTCCTTCTGTATCATAATCAGAGACACTACGCAGGGATGTGGTTCACACCTTTAATCCTAGCACTGAGGAGGCAGAGGCAGGTGGATCTCTATGATCTTTATGAGTTCAAGGTCAGACTGATCTACATAGCAAGTTCCAAGACAACCGAGGCTACATAGAGAGACCCTATCTCAGATAGATAGATAGATAGATAGATAGATACATAGATACATAGATACATACATAGATACATACATACATACATACATACATACATATGCAGATAGATACATAGAAAGATGATAGATGGGTGGATAGATAGATGATAGAAAGATAGAAAGAAGGAAAGAAATATAGATAGATAGATAGATAGATAGATAGATAGATAGATGATAGATAGATAGATAGGAAAGAAGAAAAGAACAGAGGAAAAGTGATAGGAAGGTTAGCAGAGCCCACACACCACTGCCACTTCCCTTGGCTTGGGTTGCACATCTGTCCTGAGCTTGCCAGCGTTGATGAGCATCTCCACCCCAGGAGAGGCACGGGAAGAGACAGAAAGCAGATGCCCTTTCAGCGTTGCAGCTTATGCCAGAATTAGATACAAAAATAGCATGGTGACCATGCCTGGCTGCAAATGTTCCTTGCTCTGGAATTTGGGAAATCAACTAATCAAGACCTAGGCAGCTCCACACACTGCCTCAGATGCTGCAGGCTCGTGATGCTGATATCAAGCTGTTAGTCACAAAACAGACAAAAAGACTCCACCCACCCATCAGCACCTGCCCCCGCCTCCCCCCAGCCCCCAGAATACAGCTCAGTTGTACAAACTCATCTTGTTCCCAAGTGTGTGGCTTCTTATTTAAATGGAAATTCTGAAAGCATTTTGATCATGTTGACCCTGAATACTTTTTATCTTTGACACTTCACTATTATGTATGCCCAGAATCCAATAATTCTTCAAATTCCCCAGAAGGAACAAATTTCTCTACGAGATATCTGAGGTATAAAAAGGAGTGTAGTAGGGGTAGGAGGGAAAAGGTGTTGGTGTTGGTGGTGATGTTGAGGTGATGGCTTTAATTGTAGCCTTTTTTTTTTCAAACTGAAGCAAACTTGAATTAAATACTGGCCAGATGGATGGACTCTGGCCAGGTCCATACAGGGTTCCCAGGAAATGGCCCTGATCTGATTTTGTATTGATATATTTGCATGTTCTGAACATTTCATAACTACAGTCATGGACAGGAGGTGTGACTTCTCCTATCTAGAATAGTGTTTTCAAAATTCATCTTTGTTGCACCATACAGCAGGATTTGCTCTTTTCTTGTCAAGTACTAGTGCTTTTTTTCCCTTTTTTTTTGCTAGACCACATTTACAGTCCATTCATCAGGTTTGGATTTTTGTTTTGTGTTGTAATGTTGTTTTTGTTTTGGCTACCACAAATAACACTGGTATCAGACTTTGTGTGCAAGTTTTATGCAAACACATGTTTTCATTTCCTTTGTGTGAGCTATGCTCCTAGGGATAGAATTGGGTCACAGAAAAATTCTGTGCTTCACTTTTTGGGAAACTACCAAACTTTCCCAAAGTGGCTGAGACGCCTTGCATTCTGACTCAGTGGATGCGCGGGTTCCACTCTGTCCGCTTGCTCAGCAGCCCTCCCTATGCTGCCCTTGGATGCAGCAGCTGTAGTGTGTGAGTGATGTGGTACCCCATCTTCCTCTCCATCTGTGCTTCCTTAGCGACTCATGACACATGACATATTTTCATAGTGTATATAATGGCCATATCTGTATCGTTTTTCAAGAAAGGCCTGTTTTAAGCTGGGGTGTTTGTTTTCTTGTTGAATTGTGTTATCTACATATTCTGAATGCAGATTCTTGATAAGATAAATGACTAGCAACTATTTCACCCCAGCATTATGAACTGCATTTTCACACCGTCCATGATAGAGAATGACAAGCTTTGAAACTTTGACAGAATCCAAGACTGGTCCTTCCTTTGTTGCTATTGTGTTAAACTGTTGCCTGGTCCTGGGGCACAGAGATTTGTTTCTGTTTTGTCTTCAGAGTTTTGTAGTTTTATCTCTTACATTTAGGTCTGTGGTCTACTTTTAGTTAGTTTGGTTTGGTGGGAGGGTATGGTCAGAGACAGAGGATAGCCAATTATCCAACACTGTTGAAGATTGTTCTTTCCTCCATTGAATATTTTTGGCATCTTTGCTTTAAATAAGCAACAAATGATTTATTTCTGGACTCTCAGTCATATTCCATTGATAGAAATATCTATCCTCATGCCAATACCACATTGTTTTGATTAGTGTAGTTAACCAAAATGTTTGGAAATCACAAAGTGTGAGTTTTCCTATTTCATTTGAAATATTGTTTTGACTATTGTGAATCACTTGTATTTCCATATGAATCTTAAGATCAATTTGTCATGTTTGGCAAAAACAAATCTTTGGGGGATTTTGATAGTTCTTACCTTAAATCTACAAGTCATTTCGTATCTTCCCTTGCTGTGGATGGAACTCTGTGCTAGCCTGCTTGCCTAGGGTACACAAGATCCTAGATGATCCCACCCCCTCCACCTCCCCCCCCCCCCCAAGAAATCCTTCTGATCCAGAACATAGGGCATCTTTTAATTACTTAGATATTCCTTAATATGTCTCAACAATGTGTCGTGGCCTTCAGTGTAGAAGACTTACAAATCTTGTCTTAAATTTATTCCAAAATATTTTATTGTTTTTGGTTAGTATTTAAACCATTTCTCAACTGTTCTTTCCTAAGACAGCTGATTTTTATAGTTGGTTCTGCATCTTCCAACCCATTGAACCTCTTTATTCTTGGGATTTGCTATGCATATGATCTGCAAATGGACATAATCTTACTTTTTTTGCTTCTACTTTTGTCTTTCATGTATTTATAGGTTTACTTGTTTATTTTTGCCTAATTGCCTAAGATCCTCCAATATACTGTTGAATAGAAAAGGCAAGCAAGATATGCTTTTTAAAATCCCTGATTCTAAGGGGAAAAATCATTCAGTATTTTGAAATTAGTTATGCTATGAGGTATTTAATAGATAACCTTTATCTGGCTGAGGATATTCCCTTTCTACTCTTAGCTGAATTTGCCAAATATTTTCTTCATTTCTACTGAGATAATCATGCAGATTTTATTTCTTATTAATGTGGATGATTACCTTGCATTCTTGACATAAGCCACATTGCATCATAGTATACAATGCTTTTTAGATGTTGCTCAACTGGGTTTGCTGATATCTTGTTGAAGTTTTATGTGTGTTTATCCATGACATAGCACTATCTCTAATGCTATGTTATACCAGTATAAGTCCACATCACCAAGGAAATAGTTACATCAACTGTTCAACAATTTCAACAAAAACATGAAGCAGGACTGTATACAATAATGTGTATGACCTTTCAGATAGATCATGTTTTTTAAATAGCAAATATTTATTAAAATGTTGTAGTGTAATACCATATTGAGTTATAATGCTACTCCTGACATTCACATACAATGTGGACAAATATAAATGTTATACATATTTATATTTATCCAGGTATATGTGCGAGAACATATATAAGTGACCATGTTTCAAACTGATGAAGGTGTTTCTAGTAAGAGAGATAAATGGGATAAAGCGCACTTAAAATTCAACTGTTCATAAAAGCACTAGTCTATAATCTTATGTATTTTATGGAAACTTAAAAATTAGAAATTTTTGCATGGTAAAAGTGATTTCACTGGTATGTGTAAACCCATGTTCTAATAAATTACTCCATAAGCCAGAGGAAATCCCTGTCCCTTCCCTCTCTGCCCTGTCCCTCAGAGATTCACAGACCTGTTTACACAAGTAGCTGGTGACATTAGAACTTTGTCAGTTACATATGTAAGACCTAGTAACCTGACAGAGAAGCAGCATGGGCCCTGTGTCAGTACAATGGTTAACCTTCACTGACCACTTGCTTGGATCAAGCACTGCTTAGGAAATATGTAGACTTGGAAAGGGGATCCTACCTGACATCTGGATCAATTGCTTCATGGATTCATAATGTGGTGGCACTAACTGGAGGTACCATAAGAAAGAAGAAGGGACTCTGAGTGTGTCCCTGTGGCTGTATCTTTTTTGTTGTTGGTGGTGGTGGTGGCTTTGGGGTCAAGGTCACACTATGTAGCCTTGGCCGGTCTGGAACTCACTATGTAGACCAGCCTATCTTTGAACTCATAGAGATCTGCATGCCTCTGCCTCCTGAGTATGGCATTAAAAGTGTGTGCCACCATATCCATCCTGGACCTGTATCTTTCCCCTGGCCTACTATGGTTATATTATATACAATGTATGTTATCTATAAAATACTTTGTTTTCATTGTAGAATTCCATGTAAATACCTTACCTTCACATACTGAAATGCAGAATAGTATATCTATTCCTGTTATAATCAGAAAACAATAATATAGATGGATAGCATTTAGCATTCATAAGACTCTTTTCCATTGAAAAAGGTATTTACTGTGAGCACAGGTTGCTGTCATTTGTGAGGCCGGGAAGTTCTATTTTTTTTCCTAGAGATTGAACAGCTTATGTCATGAAGAGACAGTGAAGTTAATCCACTGTTTTTGTGTATCTATTGAAATCATAGCGTTGTTTTTCGCCCCAACAATACAAGGCCTCAGAGAAATCAGAGAGTATTCATACCCTCTATGGTTTAGATCAGTGGTCCTCAGCCTTCCTAATGCTGTGACCCTTTAATACAGTTCCTCATGTTGTGGTGACCCCCAACCATAAAACTATTTTCAATGCTGCCTCATACTATAATTTTGCTTCTGCTATGAATCCTAATGCAAATATTTTGAAGAGAGGAACTTGCCAAAGGGGTCACAACCCACAGGTTGAAAACTATTGGTTTAGATGATGTGTGGATCTGTACCTTGCAAAATGATGTTCTTGTTGCTTCATATACATGGTATTGCTTAACTTTACATGAATGTTTGTGCAGTGAATGACTGTATTTTAAATTCTCCTTGTACCTTGCAAGAATATAGCATCAGATTAATAGAGAAAATAGTGTGTGTATGTGTGTGTGTGTGTGTGTATGTGTCTTTAAATGCACTAAGATATGTTGTAAAGCCTGATTAAAAAACATTGCAACATTTTTAGATGTGGTATAAGTCAATTTTAGTTTTTAGGTTGACTAGGTTGCTTCAATTATTGAGCACTGTTTTTATAATGAAACGGCATCTGCTGTGTGAGGAAACTAGTATGTTAATAGTCCCTCTAGATGTTTTCAAGCTTTCGTGTAGCTGGACCTAGAAATATGCTAATGTGTTTTTATATGTAAGTCCCTTTGCTGCTTTGATGATCATATTTGGGGCACACAGCATCCTCCCAGAGGCTGAGGTAAAGGCAGACCCCAGCCTCAAACCTAAACACAGGTATAAATGATTACCAGTCTGCACTCCAGAATGCCAAAACCACGTTGGGCCACTTACTGACACAGTGTCCCAGTAAACGTGACATCCCCTGACAGCACCAGGCATTTCCACCCTGAATGGTTGCTAGGTACCCACTTCCAGCACCAGGAGCAGACACAACGAGCATAGCTCCCACTCTCTGTGCGATAACCAAGGAAGCAGGAAAACGTATATGCCATGACTGCCACAGAGATTGTTGCCAGGGCGATGGAGGCAGGTAGCAACGTACAGCGAGGGAAGGTGATGGTCGTGTTGCAGGATAGATGTCTTGCTTTTCGCTAGGATCCTGTGTAAGTTGAGAGGAAAGTGAAGCTGCAGTAGAGCACGAAGGACCAGCAGATGCGTGGGGCCAGAGCACTGCTGTGTGTGCCCCGTTGACTCCAGACAGCCGTAGCAGAGTGCCGCTGTCTGGGTGGCAGAGTCAGCAGAGTTGTGGTTCCTGTCTTAGCCTGGAGACGGGATGCCTGAGACGAAGGTGTGGGGAGGGTTGGCCTGGCCTCTGCTGGATTTTGGTGGTGGGCACTCAGGTGCTGTTTGGTGTATGGAAGCATCATTCTAGTCTCCACCGTCATGTTCCCAAGACGATTGCCTGTGCCACGCCTGTGTGCAAATCCCTCCTTCTTCAAAGGCATTTCAGGATGGTGAGAAAGGTCTGCAGATGAGAGTGCTTGCCACCAAGCTTGCTGACCTGAGTTTGATCCCTAGAACCCATGTGGTGTAAAGAGAGAACTGGCATTCCCAAGTCTCCCCTGACATCTATGCATGCAGTGTGACACAGGTACCCCTGCACCCTCACAATAAACAAATAAGAAAATCTAACTTTTTAAAAAATAAGGTGTCTTGCAATATTGCATTAAGGGTCTTCTGACTCCAGTAGCATGTCATATTAGCTAAATACATGTGCAACCCTCCTATTTCCAAATGACATCACACTCTAACACACACAAACACCTAAATATCTCTATAGGGTTAGATTACATCCTCACTTGTGTTCACTGCCCTCTGTAGAGGGACTGGGTTCAGGTGCTTAAAAATACATGTTCAAGAGAGGGGATTGCACCTCAACATAGAGTACATACCGATGGAACCTTCTAGAAACCAAATGGCTGAGAAATGGTGGGCTTAGGAGGAAGACCCCCATGTGAGTTGGTGTTTGAGTTCTCAGACTGTGTCAGCCTGAAGTCTCTGAACTCACCACAGGGGGCGTGGTTGGGCATTTTAGATGGGGGAATTTGTGGGGGCCGCTGATCCAGACCTGAGCTGTGCTTCAGTTATATGTCATCTGTCACCACAGGTTATATCGAAGCTGCTGTCATTCCAGCCGGAGCTCGGAGGATCCGTGTGGTAGAAGACAAACCTGCTCACAGTTTCCTGGGTAAAACAGAACTCTCTCTCAAAGTTTCTGCGTTGACTCTAGTGACTAGATTCTGGTAGCTCTGCTTCTCACACTCCCTGAATACCTTCTCCTAGGTAAACCCTGGTGTTATCCTGCACTCTCATTGTAATAACGTAAGAATCCAAGGTATGTTTGGGTTAGGTGGGTAGGATAGAGTCAGTTAGAACCATCACTTTTGGATGGGATGGGAAATGAGAATGTGGAGGAATCTATGAGGTGTTGGGGAGCTATGTTCCCCAAAATTGCTCCTGAGCCCAAGCAGAGTAGGCCCATGGCCCATCCATCAGCAAACCCTTGCAGTCCCTCTGGAGATGCCTCTTACTGAGGGAAGAGCAATGGTCCTAACCTGGAAGGACATACAGAGCAGTACTGGCCTTCACTAAGCTCTGGGTACCCAACTTCACAATAACCAACTCCGCTGACCTTGAGCACCTACACCTACACATCTTGATGGAGTTGGAGTCCATCCTGACGGGTACCCATTGCCCCTGTAGAGGGACTGATTCAGTAAGCCCCCCTCCTGGCCACTAAAGGAGGTCCTCTGAATGACTCCAATCTTGCCATTGATCCCCAGCAAAGAACAGCCTGGCCCTAAGCATCAGAGAGTCAGAGTGTTACACTGTACTCATACATGCTGCTTTCATAGGCCTCAGGAAGAAACCCTCCTCAGGGTTTCCAGGGCTGCTTTACTCTTGGTTCAGCAGGATAGGAATGCTGTCACCCATGTCCTTTGGTCAGCCTAAACCACATGGTCCTTGTTTGGGTTACATTTCCAGCTAGACACAGCTGGGCAGGGGGAGCATATAATTTCTCGGTGCTTTTGATAAATCAAAATTGCCCGTGAAACCTTTTAATTTGAAATTTTAACACTGACACAAAAAGAAATTGTGTCTTAGACTACATCCCTACCTTTTTAGATTACACAAAAGTAACTGTGCCTTTCTTAGACATGGTCACAACCTGAGTTAATGCTAATGAGACAGACACAAAATGAATCTCAACAGATCCGCGTTAATCAAGACCATGGTACTATCAAGCAGAGCCTTAGATAATGACAGTGGTGCCATTATAGAGCCTTCAGTGACAGTGCTGTAGTTGCTGAGGAAGGGCCCTCCAAGGCACACTGGATATCTGCCTCTGGAAGAAGCCCACATCCCAGCCAAGTCTAACACACTCCATCCCAGCTGTCCCACCACACAGGACAATGCTTACGAGTGCCACCCAAAAATGGGCTGTGTGCTGCTTTGGACGACTTTTCCAGAGTGGTAGCCTTTCCATAAATTCCCAGATACCCACCCCTTTCTGTTCAGCTGAGAAAACCAGGTCAACTTCCTGGGTGCTGGCATCAGAAGTCTTGCCACTTAATATCACCCCCGAATCTGCCTTTCCCAGCTGGTGCACTAGGAATGTATCATTTTGCCAGGGAACCCTGTTTCTGCTCCCAAGGCAGGCACTGAGGCTCCCCAAGGGGCCATGGTCCGCTTTCACCCTTTTCTTACAAAATTATGAACCCGGTGATCCAAGAGGTGGCCCAGCTCTGGGTGCCCCAAGTTACTTCTTCCATAAAGTATCAACAGGTGCTCAGCAGGAGAAGACTGGAGCCCCCAAGATGCCCCAGTACCCGCCCTGGTGCCCATCCCCACAAGCCTGGATGAAATGATAAGGCCTCCTCCATTTTCTGTGAAGTCTAAACGTGGCGGAGGATGATATCATTATCAATAAATCTAATCCATAGAATATTAAGAAACTCTTCACTGGAACCCACATCAGGATCAAGGGAAAAAAATCCTAATGGATGCTGCTAGGGGCCAGAGGGCTAGGTGTCTCAGTTGCTATTGTCAGCTCTACTGTGAAAGCCTAGAGGCCACCTATGCAAAGGAAAGTAGTAATGTCCATGCTTGTGGTTCCCAGTCACTGGGACTTTAGAGACTTGACCCCAACACCCCAAAATACCACAGAGTATTGCTCTGCTAGATTCACAGATAGCAAACAAAAGGCCCCGGAGGCCTACTCGCATGCCAAGTTCCTCACTCCATTCGAATCCGCTACAGTCTGGAGCCTCTCGGAATTGCCAGTGGAGTCCCCCTGGGACCTGAGGATGACAGATGGAGATGACATTTCATTGTGTGCACTGCAGAGAAGCTAATCTGTACCCCAAGAAGATTGATTGAGATGTCTGAATGACTTGGCTTCCAGAAACAGTGCTGTTCCTCCATGGGAGCTTGGAGCCAGCCTTGGTCCACTTATCTTACCCGCAAATTTATAATCCCAGTATCCCAGGCTCTGGCACATGGACGGGAACAGGTCTGAAGGTGGTCCACGCTCCCTCGTTATGTTTCTAGCATCAGCTCCAACGGGCCATGTTTCCACTCAGGGCTGGGTGCTTTGGAAGTCAACCCAGAGTAATTCTGAATTACTCTCACATTTGCTGGGAGCAGTTCCTGAAGAATTTCACCCCCGCCTACCTTCAGCCCACGCTGGCTGGCTTTCTGCTCAAAACCACCTGGAACAGGAAATGCCTCCACAGTTTGTATCCATGGCTAAGAACAGAGCTGGCTGAACTCCTAGTGGAAATAGAGAGAGAGACAGAGACAGAGACAGAGAGAGACAGAGAGACGAAAGAGAGAGAGAGGAAAGAGAGAGAGAGACAGAGAGAGGGGAAAGAGTGAGAGAGAGAGAGAGAGAGAGAGAGAGAGGAAAGAGAGAGAGGGGAAGAGAGAGAGAGACAGAGAGAGGGGAAAGAGAGAGAGAGAGAGAGACAGAGAGAGAAACCAGTTGACTCGGAAGCAGGGAGAATTCAAAGAACCCACTGGCGGTCCGAACAAGTAGGCAGGGGGAGCCTGCGTCTGCAAGGCCATTCTGACAAGGAATGCCCCTCCTTGCTCCATGGAGCACTAGCTGTCCTCTCTTACGGTGCCTTAAAGTCCCAAGATGGTGGGAAAATATCCACCTAGAGAAGGATCCGAACTGAAAACGGTTGGATGTTCAGAGTGTGACCTTATTGTATTCTGGGCCATGCAGAGATCTTGTTCTGCCATAGTGGTCAACTAAAAGGTGTGCCTGTCCCCATGGTACCCTGCAAAAGGTCTGCCCAACAGTTGAAAGTATAGGAGCAGAGGCCGCAAAGTGTGCACCCTTGTCTTTGGATTGTGGTTTAAAACATGTGGCCCCTGGCCCAGACAGAAGCAGCTAGAGGACTCTCCTCAACAAACCAGAACCTCCGAAGAAACCACGCCACTGGGGATCCCACTCCCTCTGCGGTGAACTGTTGACCGGAACCTCAGACCTTTCAGAAGAAATCACGCCACTGGGGATCCCACTCCCTCTGCGGTGAACTGTTGTTTGCCCGTAAATTGGAACATGTATGATCATTTGGATCACCTTCTTGGGGCTTCTCTAGTTCCCACATCCTGACGTCGGCTGCAGGCTGATTTGGTCCTGGCATGCTTACACACAAAGAAGGTTTGATGCGTAGGAGCTGAGGAAAATGGCTGTGCTGTGTACACCCACCTCAGGACGAGCTCCTGAGCAGAACAGCAGCAGTTTTCCACAGACCCTGCTCAGGTCTACTCACAGAAGGGAGGAGAGCAGCTCCTGCTGCAGCCTGAGGAGACAAGAGGTGACAGCCCCATCAAGTCACGGAATCACCAGACTCCTCACAGAAGCTACCTGTTCACTCTCAAAAATGGCCTTGATGATCTAATAGACACCGAGACTAAAGTGTCACCCTTTTGAAAGGCATGCGAAGTGCTAAATTTGGATTTTTTAGTCTCTTCATAGAACAGAGGAACTTAGAAATCCTATGTTTTGCTTGATGACTTCCACCCAAATCAAAAGGGTTAAAAGCTGTCCCCATGCTTCCAGCAGCTCCTGTTTCAAATTCTGCCTACACTGAGAAATCACAGTGGGAAATATGTATAACCTGTTCTAAGGACCCTGTTCAGATGAGCAGAGAGCTCTGCAGTCAGGGCCTCCATTACCTCCACCTCTGTCCTCCCCATCAGTGGCTGCTTCTACCATGGCTTCCCTGGGACTCAGCAGCTTACGACAGGAACCGCCCCCCAGCCCTGTGTGTGCCTTTTCTCTTACCTAGATGTCCTCCTCAACCCCTTTCCAACCCTTCCCTCCCAGATGTTGAACTCTAGGAGACTTTGAGTTCATAATCCATTAAGGCACCTGAAATATCTTACAAAGGCATCCACACAAAGCTGGTGCCAAGAGCCAGCTGTGCAGGAGGTCACTGCAGGACAGGAACAGTGGCCCAGGAGCATGGGGCCCTGTCGCATCTCCTGACCATGGGGCTTACGTTTGTAAAGAGCTGAGGTGACTCTGAGAAACCCATGTGAGTAATTTTCTTCTGTCAGCTCTGCCCTGGTGGTTTTACAGGTTGGTCTCCTAAAGACACAGGTGACAAACAAATGCCACTGAGTCTAGGAGTTTCCATTGATGTGACAGGAAGCAGTGTCAGCCCATCTCAACACTCTTGTCCTCTCTTGGGGGCCCTCCCCATGGAGCGACACATCAGCTCTATGTCTTTGTGCAATGCCTAAGAAGAAAAGTATCTCTCTCTAAGGTGAAAGGTAACCAAAGCCCGGAACTGGGCACAGTCCCATATGACTAGGAGGAAAATATACTCTCAAAGAAGCTGGCTGGGGGCAGGGGGGCCTTGAAATGGAGAAACAGAAAGAAAGAGGTTAGATGCAAATATACTAGACAGTCAAGATGGCCGCCTTTCAAGATGGCCGCCTTTCGAGAAAGGCTGAAACCCTGACATCTAGACTCCCAGTCCTAGGCTCGAGCTCGGAAGGGAGGCCAGCAGATGACTGCCAAAGGTCGGTGCACCTGGGAGAAGAGAGAGCTGCCACCACAGTCTCTGGTCCATGGGTGGCACATGGCTTCTCACTGATTCCCTGCGCACCGACAGTTGCAAGTGCTCCAGAGACCTCTACCCAAGCCGCAGTGACCGTCACCTTCCACCTCCTTCCTGTCACTGCCATCACCTCATTTCCCTAGCCAGACCCATGGGGAAAGATAGCTGTCACCCTGCACCTGCTCCCCTGTCTTCCTGCCGAAGAGATCATCTTAGCACTGCAGCCTCCAGGGGTCAGGGCTCCACCTCCAGGTCTGCTGCACACTCCCAGAAGTTTCCTCTTTCCCCGACTGCAATGGATAAACTCAGAGTCTTTGTTCCAGGAAGCTGTCTCCAGCTGCCTGTGTCACCCCCACTTATGCACCCAGGTCCCCAATGTGCTTCTATCATGGAGCCGACGAAGCTGTTGTCTGTCTGTCCTCCAAACTCTGAGTCCCCTGAGAACAGTAGCACTCTGCCAGAAAACGCTCAGAACATGGGGAGAGACAGGCAGAGGTACCCCTGCTGTTCCACTGTCATCCTGGACTTGTTCTTTGTTAGGGGGCTCCAGCCCATCATTTTTTGTTGTTGTTCTGGAACTTCCAACCAGCCCACAGTGACAACAAATGCCTCTATCACAGTCACCTAGTGTGATATGCCAAGTGTGTGAGGCTTGGTCTATTGGGCTCGGGTCTCACTGCTACAGCTTTATAGCTGAGTGTCTTGGGGCAAGTTCCTCAACCTCCCTGTGCTTCTACATGTGAGGAAAATAATTCCAAGAGCCCTTGGGAAGATTAATGGCGAGAGAGTGTGTGAAGGGGTACTTCCTAAAGAGTGGTTTGCAGGAGCTGATGTTGGAAGAGAAAAACCGGGGGTCCTGTGATCTCACCTCCTTTTCAGTAGCCAGAGAGTCCCCAGCAAAATAGGTAACAGAGTCCCCCCTGGTCCCTCCCTGGAGTCTGGGATCCCTTTGATTCTATACGCAGCCTCCCTGGGATATGCTCCTCACCAATACGTCACCATGTGGAACAGTACCCTGCTGATCCCCTGGGCAGCTGCAGGGTTGAAAGGTCCCAAGCCTGCTTTCCCACTGCATTTGCCGGGACTGGAGCATCACACAGACCACGGAGTGGAGGCTGAACCTGCCCTGTATCCCCTAGCTGCCTGTCTGAGCAGACCTCACCCTCGGACTTCTGACCCAGCATGGTTGACAGATTCAACTTCCAGGGACCCCTTTGAGTCTCCATATCCAAGATAGGTTTAGTTGCTACTTTCAGCAGGCAGATAGCAGGATATGGAAGGGTCTCTGAAATCATCGACTGCAAACTGGGGCCCCAAAGTGGCACGGAGAAGTCGGGGGTGTTAGGACTCCGGTCGCGGACCAGAGTACGTGAGAGTTTCATTTTGCAGAATGACCTTAAGACTCACTGTCACCTTGAGTCCTCTGCCACCTACTGAGTGCCAGAGTAGACCCTAGTTCGCTGCTGTTGTTTGTTTTTCATGCAATGGTTTTCTCTAAATAGCAACAGCAGCAGCAGCAAAGGGCACCGGAACTCTACTGCAGAGGCTTCTCCTAAGCAAGGTCATGTGACCCAGCCTGTACTGCGGGAGGCGGCAGTGCATGGACGCCCTTACCCCCCCCCCCACGCTTTGCATCATAGGTGTGAGTGAGAGAGTGTGGGGTGTTGGTTGCCCAGTGTTCAGCCCTTACCCCTCCTGGCAGCCGCTGTGTGTAGTGGCCACGTCTGTGAGTAAGCTGAATACACGCGTCAGTGTATAACAGACTAGCATCACTTCCTAAAGGAATATCCACTTTCCCAATGTGGGGGTGTCAGATCCTTGGGGGATACTTGAGTTACATTGCCCTTCCAAGGGCCCAGGGAGGTAACAGCAAACTGGATGGATGCTTACATTTTTCTTCATGGCTAAATAACGTCCCATGTGGTGTACGCACTCTCCATGTTCTTTATCTGTTCCCCTATCAGTTGGCATCTAGGCTGATGCCTTGCTCTACCTGCTGGGAGTGTTGCTACATCACATCTCTGTTCGTTGCTGATTTCGTTTCCTGTGGATATCTACCGGAAGTGGTGAAGCCAGGCCCTGTGCTGGCTCTATGCTTTTCCTGTGAATTTTCCATAAAAGCCAGGGAAATGTACATTCCCAGCCACTCCGGCGTGATTTTCTCCTTGTCCTTGCCACCATTTGCTAATCCGTGTTTTATTCATGAGCACATGCTGACAAGGGCGAGATGGTGTACATCTCCCTCATGACTTGTGAGAGTAAGGAGTTTGGGTTGGATGGATTGTTTTATTTGGGTTGGGGTTTGGTTATTTTTTTAAATACTTGTAAGCTATTTATTTGCATTTCATTTTAAAGTAAGTATCAAGCTGGGCAGAGTGGTTGATGCCTAAAGCAAAGAATTGCAGTGAATTTAAGGCTTTCCTGGGCTGCGGTATAAAGCCCTGTCTCAAATGTGGGGAGGGAGCTGGGGAGATAGCACAGGGGCTAAAGTACTTACTCCTTTTGTAGAGGACCCTGGTTCAATTCCTAGTCCCCACATAGAGGCTCACGACTGGCTCTGACTCCGTTCGTGGCAATCCGGTGCTCTCCCCTGGTCTCCACAGGCACTACCTCCATGCAATGCCCACGGACTCACACAGGAATACACACATGCATGCACAGAAATAGAAATTAAAAAGTAAATCAAGCTTTTTTTCTGGGGATGTAACTCGATTGGTACAGTGCTTGCCTGGCACACAGGAAGCCCTGGGTTCAATCCCCAACACTGCATAAACAGAGTGTGATGGTATGCACCTGTCACCTCAGCACTAGGGAGGTAGAGTCGGGGAGATCGGAAGTTCAAGGTCTCTCAGCTGCATAGGGGGTTTGAGCAGAATGGGCTGTAGAAGGTGTTGGTCACTTGGCCATCTTTGGCCTGTCCTTGGCAGCAAGGAGAGTGGAGCTGTGGGAACTGTAGGAGATTGTGTGGTATGCAGACACAGAAAGACAAGCCCTGTGTGTTCTCTTTGCCATGTAGAATAGTGATTATCAATATGTGCAGTATACACAGTCAACTCTCACACTGAACCCCAAAATAGTACAACTAATGCTTGTCAGTATTTTTTAAATCTTAAATGAATGAATGGGTTTCACCAAAGCTCTAAGACATGTTTTGTGGCCCTGACTATACCAAGGCAGAACTCTTTCTTCCGTCAGGTAGGAAGCCATCTCCTGCCATTGGTTTGGACTGGATCCTTGCACCTCCAGCCTCCAGCCTCTCCCCCAACCCCATTACTGGAACTAGTACGAGATAGGCAGCTGTGTTGGAAGATGTTGCCATCAGCCCTCACAACTTTTTCTCCTGTGAACCAGAGAAGTTTGTTTTCTGTGAACCAGCCTGCTGTCCTTGGTGCCAGAGTACAGTCCTCTCACTGCAGGCTCCTGCCTGCTCTCATGTGAGCCTCAGACTTAGGCAGGACCCCCACACACACCGACACACACCGACACACACACACACACACACACACACACACACACACACACACACACAATCCCTCCAATGACGGACAGGCTAAATGGCTCTGATTTTTCCAATGCTCAACTTCCTTTCTAGCTCTCAAAGACTCCAGTAAGAGAGCCATCAACAGTGACTGGAAGATAGAGCTGCCCGGAGAGTTCCAGATTGCAGGTACGACCGTCCGCTATGTGAGAAGAGGCCTGTGGGAGAAGTTTTCAGCCAAGGGACCCACCACGGTGCCACTGCATCTGATGGTAAGCACTGGCTCTGGAATATGCTTACGCTGGCATCTCAGTAGGTTTATTGGTCTTGTTCCCAGGACCTGGGTGGAAGGCCTCTGGTTCCTCGGAGTTCACAAGAATCCCTGCTACTGAGGACTTTCTCTCTTTACCATTATTTTCACTTGTTCATTTATTAATGTATATGTGTGATGTGTTTATATGATGTATGCATGTGGTGAATGAACATGTTCTTGAGGGCATGCAAATGTTCATTCCAGTACACATTTGTGCACATATGTGTAAATGCCAGATCAGCAGCCAGTGTCTTTTCTTGGTTGCTGTCTACATTTATGTTTTGAGACAGGGCCTAACATAAGCTGATCTTTGTCCACACCTACAGTTCTGGGATTACACACTCATGATGCCATGCCTGGCTTTTATTCATGGGTTCTGAGGATCCAGACTCAGCTCCTTGTGTTTCTGTAGCATGTGTATTACTGACTGCAGTATGCAGATAACTGACTGCACTATGCACATTAGTGCCTGGGGCATGCACATTACTGACTGGGGCATGCACATCAGTGACTGGGGCATGCACATTACTGACTGGGGCATGCACATTACTGACTGGGGCATGCACATTACTGACTGGGGCATGCACATTACTGACTGGGGCATGCACATTAGTGACTGAGGCATGCACATTACTGTCTGGAGCATGCACATTAGTGACTGAGGCATGCACATTAGTGACTGAGGCATGCACATTACTGACTGAAGCATGCACATCAGTGACTGGGGCATGCACATTACTGTCTGGAGCATGCACATTAGTGACTGGGGCATGCACATCAGTGACTGGGGCATGCACATTACTGACTGAAGCATGCACATCAGTGACTGGGGCATGCACATTAGTGACTGAGGCATGCACATTACTGACTGAAGCATGCACATCAGTGACTGGGGCATGCACATTACTGTCTGGAGCATGCACATTAGTGACTGGGGCATGCACATTAGTGACTGAGGCATGCACATTACTGACTGGAGCATGCACATTAGTGACTGGAGCATGCACATTAGTGACTGGGGCATGCACTTACTGACTGGGGCATGCACATTACTGACTGCACTATGCACATTACTGACTGGGGCATGCACATTACTGACTGGGGCATGCACATTACTGACTGCACTATGCACATTACTGACTGGAGCATGCACATCACTGACTAGAGCATGCACATTAGTGACTGGGGCATGCACATTACTGACTGGGGCATGTACATTACTGACTGGGGCATGCACATTACTGTCTGGAGCATGCACATTAGTGACTGAGGCATGCACATTAGTGACTGGAGCATGCACATCACTGACTAGGGCATGCACATCACTGACTGGGGCATGCACATTAGTGACTGGGGCATGCACATCAGTGACTGGGGCATGCACATTAGTGACTGGAGCATGCACATCACTGACTGGGGCATGCACATCACTGACTGGAGCATGCACATCACTGACTGGGGCATGCACATTACTGACTAAGCATGCGCATTAGTGACTGGGGCATGCACATCACTGACTGGGGCATGCACATTACTGACTGAGCATGCGCATTAGTGACTGGGGCATGCACATTAGTGACTGTCACATGCACATTACTGGCTGCTGCATGCATGTTACTGACTGAGCTGTCTCCCCAGCTCTTTACCTCTCTCTTGGTCCCATTCCTTCTACCTTGGTGTTCCTCCCCAGAATCTCCTCATGGCTCCTCACTAACAGAGTACCTAGCTTTTTCAAAAGCAGATGCTTCCAGAAAGGTATCGATCAGCCACATGGGTAGCAGCCAGATTCCGCTGGTACCATTAAGTCAATAGCCATTGTCTTACTTTAGGGTTTCACTGTGGTGATAAAACACCATGACAGAAAAGCAGCTTGGGGAGGAAGGGGGTTGTTTGTTCACATATCCAGAGTTACAGACCACTGAGGGAAGCCACAGTAGGGATCAAACCAGGTTGGAACCAGGAGCCAGGAACTGAAGCAGAGGCCATGGAGGGAGCTGCTTCCTGGCTTGCTTCTCATGGCCTGCTCAGCCTGCTTTCTTATAGCACCCAGGAAGACCTGCCCAGAGGTGGCCCCGACAGCAATGGACTAGGTCCTCCCACATCAATCACCAATTAAGAAAATGGCTTACAGCCCCATCTTATGGAGGCATTTCCTCAAGCGAGGTTCCCTCCACTCAAGATGACATGAAACTAGCCAGCAGAGCTGTGCTCAGAATCTGTGTTTGGGTCAGATGGCAGCATGCATGGAGCTAGCCCATAGCTGAGAAGCACCTTCTGCAAATGACTGTGGATGCAATGTATGGTACCACTCAGACTGGCCAGATTCTGCTTACGCCCAGCGCTGGGGAATCAGGAAAGAATCGGATCCCATCTTCTGTTTACTCACCAGGTGGCTTTAGGAAACTTGTATACTCAGCTAGCCAGGATGTCAGTGTTATCTCTTAATTCCTGGGAACTGCATGATTGCCACTTAAACATGAGCTTGGGATCAAAGGCCTCCAGGGCACCATGCCAGGGCTGCCTTCTCAGGGTCTGAGCAATCTCATGGATTATGTATGACAACACCCCATTATGGATAATTTTGTGAGGGTGCTAGAGATTGAATGCAGGCCCTGTACATGCCAGGTGAGGCTTGTTGATTCTGACCTCCTGAAGACCAGGGTTTGTGGCAGTCTGTGCACGTGTCGTGAAAGCACACGTTGTCCAATGTGCCTGCCAGTCTCTGAAACTCTTTCCGCCATTGATTTGTGCCCCCGGGAGATGAGCTAGCGCTCAGAAGATTCTCTGGTCACCACCTACTGTGGGTGTTGAGTGTGGCCTGACGAGGGTAGTGACCCCTTTGTAGACTCTGCTGAGCTGAACACCAGCCAGCTTCCACATGGACCATAAACTGTCTGGGAATCTGCCAATGGTTCCACTGGAGATCATTTCTGCAAGTAGATCTCTGGGACCCGGGGACCTGTCCCAGAGCCATTTCTCCAGGATGAGATGTTTCCCAGTCAAAGACTTTGAAACAACCTCCCACAACTATTCTGAGTTCAAAGCAAACATTCAGAGGGGCACAGAGAGGGAGCTGGAGACAAAATAAGGCCCACGGAGAAACACGAGCCTTTAGTTCAGGACTGTGCCCTCTCTAACAAACACTGGAGTATGCCTAGGGCTTTTCTTCACCAAAAGCTCTTAAAAGCTGATTGGTCTACGTGGACCATAACTGAAATCAGAGGAAGTCTCTCACAAGCAGCTGGACTTTCAGCCCTTATTTAATATTTAATTGCTTTCTCCCTTGAAATGTGCTCTATACACCACATTGCATCAAGGTTCCCTTGCCTCAGCATAGAAAGCCATGGTCCCTAAACTGGGGTGTATGCATTACTTTCACAAGCAGAGGTGCTTATGGAGTCTCAGAGTCAGCATTTGAAACCAAGTGTGTGGCTGTCGGTCTATTAGCTGGGGAAATAAGCATGTATTGGGTCTACCCCTAGAGCCCCTACCCCATCCTTCAGTGTAGCCTTGTAGGCCAAGGAAGCCTTGGGACAATTCCCCTCTGTCACTTGACTCTTCCATCCTGCTCTGCCAGAGCCTAGGCAGGTGGGCTGTACACTCTGCCTTTAGCTCCTGGCTGGGCCCTTCTCCCAGACCCTGTGACTGGAAGTGAACTCGCTAGCCACTATCCCCAGGGACACTCACCGGTCTACAGCCAGGTCCATCTCCCACAGAAAAGCCTGCTTTACATCATGATGCATGTCTACATTATGTCTAAAGCCAGTTGGGCACTGGTGGTTGTAAGAGGCTTGTCGTGTTTTGCCCCAGGCAAAGCCTAGGCTCTTCCATTCTGAGCCCTGTAGGGAGAGATCTTACATACCTGGTACCAAATGGGCGTGGTCACAGGTACGTAGTAGAGAAGGGAGATGAAGAATGGGGAGAGAGGAGACATGATCTCTTTTTCAGGGTTCCGGTCAGGTCTCAGAAGCCCCTGAGACCAACCCGGGTTGCCAGTTTCTCTTGAAAGTACCTTCTCACAACAAATAGTCACCTATATCATCAAGGGTGAGATTTTTATTACGGTGACATCACCCTCCCTAGGATTTCAGATGTGTGGTCCCCAAGCTGCAGCATGGCTGTCACAAGTGAAGCTCAGTCACCTCTCTGCACCTCCACCTACCCTTAGTGCTCAACCATGAGCCTCGCATCGGCCTTCCAACAGGCATAGTCATCATCCCAGCTCCATGGCAGCACCAAGATGCAGACAGCCTCAGCATCCTTCACACAGGCTCCCCAGGTCCCTCTGCCACAGGCTGGGTCTTTCCTTCTCTTGACCTGACTTACCCCTGAGTATGCAAACTGCAGTGCGACAGGGACAGGTGATGAAAGGCACCATCTGGAGGGCCGCACTTGTCTTGGTTAGTGTTTCTATGGCTATGAAAAGCACCATAGCCAAAAGCAGCTTGGGAAGGAAAGGGTTTATTTCGTCTTGCACTTCCAGGTCTTTCCCTGAGGGAACTCAAGCGAGTCAGGAACCAGGAGGCAGGCACTGAAACAGAAGCCATGGAGGAAGACTGCTTACTGGCTTGCTCCTCATGGTTTGCTCAGCCTGCCTTCTCATCTCTCACCCAGAGATGGCACCACCCGTAATAAGCCCGGCCCACGCACAACAGTCATCAATCAAGAAAATGGCGCCACAGGCTTGCTGGTGGGCCAATCTGAAGTACACATTTCCCCCACTGATGTTTCTTCCCTCTCTCCAAATGACTCCAAGTTGGGTCAAGTTGATATTAACTAGGCAGCACTGAGCTTATACTCAAAGAAATGGTTTAGCACCGCTCTCGGAGCTTTCTAGGAAGAAGCAATGTGTTTGTGTCTCTCTCGTCTGCGAGCACAACCTTATGGGCAAGTTGGTAGGAATGTGGATCCGCTGCACCAGGTAGAAAGATGCCACAAGCAGCCAGCGGTTCACCACCCCAGGTTCCCCATGTAAACAGGTCGTCGGTAGAATAGGAAAGAACAGAGCTCACCAACGATAGTGTGCTCACCCCGTCCACCACCCAAGGCCCCGAGGAACCCGGGGGTTGAGGTAGACACCTCCAGCTTTGACCTGCTTCGATCTTCAGAAGAGAGCTGGCTAGTGGGGAAGCAGCCACAGTAGCTTACGTTCAGCAGTCTGTGGGTACTCACTCCATTTCTCCTGGCTCCAGGTGCTGTTATTTCACGACCAGAATTATGGAATTCACTATGAATACACCATACCCGTAAACCAGAGCACTGAAAATCAGAGTGAGCCCGCCAAGCCGCAGGACGCCCTCTTTCTCTGGACCCACAGTGGCTGGGAAGGGTGCAGCGTGCAGTGTGGAGGAGGTGAGGTGGGGGAGGGGGAGGGGAGGGTGCAGCTGAAGAAATACTGAATTCAGGGCCCTGTGTGCCAGTCCACCCAGTGGACAGAGAGTCTGTAGTTCCATGGGAACCTAAGCCCTGAAAAATCTCAACAGAGCATGTGGCCAGGCCATCACGGCTTCAGCAGGTTGGTGGGCCCACACTGCTTCTTGGCCCAGAGTTTACCCTAGCAGTAGAGATTTGCCAGTCATGTGGCTATGTGGTAAATATGAAAACAAAAATGGTCTTTAGATAATTGAAATAGACCTCCATTTTGGTGGAATGGCACCAGATGAGGAGCTCACCCATCCCCAGGGCCCTGTCACCCTCTCCAGGGTGCAAAGGAAAGAGTCCTCTGGGGGGGGCAGAGCACACCTCGAGTGAGCCCCAGCCCTCTGCCCGGCCTCAGCACACAGCCTGTCCCCTCTGCACACCTGCACTTCGTCACCTCTAAAGTGTGATGACTCCTCCCGCTGTGGAGACTGTCACGCTGCAAAGATCTGCATTAGCGAAGGTGCCATGTCTGCTGGTGGGGCACTAAGAAGGAGCACTGGTGATAAAGAATTCCCCAGTCGTGCCAGCGACTGTCATTCAACTCAGCCGGTCACTAACACAGACACCAAACTAGGGGAGGGCTTGTCAGGAAAAGGCCTCAGCAAGGGGTGGGGACCAGAGAAGGTAACAGGGGTGGAGGTGGAGATGGCCAAAAGTCAATATATATGCATGAGAAACCGTCAAAGAACAAAAGAGATAAATGGAAGTTTTAACATAGAGCAGCAGGAAAGCTGCATTCAAGGAGGTAAAGTAGCTGCTGGCGTGACTGCTCCATGGCATGGGGGAGGTTCTATCATAGGCAGGAGAGGATTTCTAGAGGCATCTGGAAGAGTCCAGAGCAGAGAGAAAGAAGTAGTAGACTGGACATGGCCAGAGACAGACAGACAGACAGACAGACAGACAGACAGACAGACAGACAGACAGACAGAGAGCATAGCAAGAGATAGTAACAGAATAAGAAACAGTAAGTTTGAGTAAGAAGTAAGATACCTCTGGGTCAGTGCCATTTGTCACTCCAATAAGGCACTCAGGAGGGTCATGATGGAGATGACGCAAAGGATGGTGGGTAAAACAGAGGATTCATGAGAACTCTCAGTGCCTACCCATAGAGTGGGGTGGTAAGCTAGAACCCACGTGCGACCCCACCCATCCTTGCTCTGCAGAGGCTTGACTGCTAAGATGATGTTGTCACATATGCAGCTTGTGTGGCGTTGTCTAACTCTTAGGGACTCGTCCCATTGTTCCTGGGAGATCAGAGCCATGGTGTGGCGTTGTCTAACTCTTAGGGACTCATCCCATTGTTCCTGGGAGATCAGAGCCATGGTGTGGCTTTGTCTAACTCTTAGGGACTCATCCCATTGTTCCTGGGAGATTGAGCCATGGTGTGATCAGGTCCTTCAGCTCCCTCCTGTGCATCCCAGCTAACTGCTCACACCAAATGTTTCTGCAAACCGTGACTGTCAGCACAGCTTTCAGGTGCCCCGTCAGCCCTACCAGAGTGCACCTTTCCAGAGCTCTTGTCCTGGGGCCCTCAGTTGTCCCTTGTGCTGATGGCTTCCTGCCCTGCCACTTTAGGGGCCCATGCCTGGGTCTCTGACTGTGGCCAGAGGTTCCACGGAGCCAATGTACTATAGACAAAGCCCAGCCAGAGGCACCATGGCAGGCTGAGCTCCACTAGGGGCTCTGAACTGCCACAGCCACAGCTGCATTGGTGCAGTCCCTTCGTGGTATCAGCAGCTCCCTTCTGTCCTGCCGCTGCATTCCATAGCTCTCTGCTCCCATATTCTTAGGTGACTTCATCCGTGGGCCGTAGGACAATGTGACTTAAGACTCCTCATGGTTTTTTAGTCATTCCTGCATGACAAATTCCTCAAACAACAGATCTTACAAAGAAGCCTGGGCCTGAATAGTTGTATGTGACTCCATGTTCATCCTTTATGGTCAGTTTTCTCAAGCCACACCAATGGCATCCCCACTTGGGGAAACTGAGATATAGAAGCATGGTGGCCAACTGTTGATGCTGTGGCCACAGTGACACTGATAAGGACAAAGCCAAGAGGCACCCAGACAGCTGGTTCCAGAGGTTCCTCACGACCATTGCTCAGCTTCCCTGACAAAGGTGTAGCCACCAGACTGAGAGCTCGTAGGGACACTCAAAGAAAGGTTAATGGGCTTGCAAGGCTGCCCAAGAGCGCGTGGCACTGAGGCATTGGCACCACTGTGCTAAGTGAACACTGTGGAGTGAAACAAGCCTGTCTGTCCGTCACAGCAGCCACATTTCTCCTGCCCAGAAGCAGGCCTGTATGTCCGCCACAGCAGCCACATTTCTCCTGCCCAGAAGCAGGCCTGTATGTCCGCCACAGCAGCCACATTTCTCCTGTCCAGAAGCAGGCCTGTATGTCCGTCACAGCAGCCACATTTCTCCTGTCCAGAAGCAGGCCTGTAACCAAGTGGGTTCCATGCTCTCAGTGATGTGCAGGTGTGACTGGGACCAGATCTCCATAGACCTTAAATCTCATACACGCAGATCAAAAGATTAGCAATTTCTGAAAGCCCCAAAGCAAAGCATTGGTTTTAGCAACTCCCAAGCTATCCAAGGGCATAGCTGACCTGAGGGTCCTGCTGCTTTCTCAGATTGTTCTAGAATATTACCCTGCTCCATACAGCTCTGCTATGACTTAGACACCCCATCCTTAAGAGAACAGCTCCCCCTCTTTGACAACTGATTTGGCTCACTCACCGATTGGTAGTTGCAGCCAAACACCCCTCCGTAAGAATGAACGAATGGCTTTCCGGGTATAGGCATCCATAACTTCTCAGCTCCCGTGGTTTGGCTTCCAGGAGAACGAAGAACCATTGTATCATGTACCCGGATTGTTAACAAGACCACAACCCTGGTGAATGACAGTGACTGTCCCCAAGGAAGCCGCCCTGAACCCCAAGTGCGAAGGTGCAACTCTCACCCATGCCAGTCCCGGTAAGTCACTGTGTTCTGTGGCTTGGACCACCAGTGTGTTGGATAGCACCGCCTCAGACGAGGGGATGGCAACACACAGTTAACGCCACAGAACTAGCCTATGCCTCATTCTGGCGGTGTGGCTAGTGAGCTTTTGCTTGCTCAAAGTAGTCATGTTGCTTGACAATGGGGACACATTCTGAGAAGTGCCTACCTATTTAGACAACATAATGTTTACTACATAAGTAGGCTAACTGCATAGGTGTGTTATAGTTTATTGTTCCTAGGACATGAACAAAAGAGAACATTAAGCATAAAAATGATACAATCAGTAGACATGGAATGCATAGGCTAGTGCTGTTCTAACATAAACTTCTCTACAGTGAACAATACTTTTAAACAGGAGGGCATTCTAAAATAGCAAAGTAATTATAGTGTAGTAAGTACCTGAACCAGTAACTCATTACCACTTGTTATCATTGTCAGTAGTGTGTTGGGGCTGGGAAGATGGATCAGTGGGTAGCGCACAATCATGAGGACCTGAGTTTGGGTCCTTAGCACCCCAGGAAGAGAAGGGGTCATCTGTGTGTGTCTGTAACCCCAGACCTAGAGGGGTGTGTGCAGACAGGCAGATACCCAAGGCGTGCTGGAAGCAATCTGGTCAGCTGGTGAACTCTAAACTCACCAAGAGACACTGTCTCAAAATAAAATCCAATAAAGTGATAGACAGAGACATCCAACAATGACCTCTGACCCCCTCATGAGCGTGCATAGGCAAGTATACCACATCATATCATATGCCATCCCTTCCAATAATAATTAATGTGACAACACAGTAGGTTGTTTCCATGAGTGTTGCCACAGCATGATGTGTTATACTGTGACATGGTGGGGGCGATGGAAATCTTTCAGCTCCATTGTAATCCTATGGCACCACTGCGGTATTCATGTCACCGACTGACGTACCATGACTCAGTGCTGTCTGAACGTCTGTCTTCTAAATCAGAACACTAATGGAAAAATCCTGTCCTAGCTGGAAGGCAGCTTACAGGTCATGACTGACAATATCTCACAGAGAAAATGTTGCCGTGGGCACACACTTTTGACTGGTGCCCATTGGCTCCCCTAAATCACTTGTCTCGGAGGAGGGGGGAATAAGTGCAAGAATTTTAGTGTTTAAGGATAAGGGTCTGCAGAGGTTAATGGGTCTCTGTGAGCATTTGTTGTTCTGTGGAAGCCATCTGTACTTCTCTGCCAGACGCAGCTGAAACATGGGGCGGCCATGCTGCCCATGTGCCCTGGCACACAGTCCGCATTTCTCGACTGTGATGAGCTGTGCGGTGTGTTCACCTGCTCTGCGTGTTTCCTTCCAGGTGTTTCTTTCTAGTTGCTTCTGTAGACAGAAGCGTGGTCCCAGTGACTCTGATGCATTGTGTGATACTGCCCCTCTAAGTTGAGCCACTAGTTTTTGCTTCGTGGCCCTGCCCATCATGTCAAGACACGTTTACCTTTGCTAACCAGGCTTTGCTTTTTGATGTGGAAACTCTTAAGCTCTGCGTGTACCCTGGCCTGATTCAGGAGTGCGTGTGCGTTTGCATGTGCACGTTCATGTGTGCGTGTGTGTGTGTGTGTGTCTGTACTCTGTGGCACACGTGTGGAGGTCAAAGGGCATCTTTCAGGCAATGATGATCTCTTCATCGCATGGACCCTGAGTATCTAACCCAGGCTGTGAAGGTTGGCTCAGGCACCTGTACCTGCTGAGCCATTATCGCATCATTACAACCTTTTGTTAAACTCTTAGTTTAGCAAACTAAGAGAAGATGGGAAGGATAAAGCAAGCAGGTAGTGTTCCTTATGTCGGTTTTGTAAGCTCCTTCAAAATTAAGAGAGAATGCCTACTTTCACACTAAAGGTTTTGAGGAGGACTTGTTCACTACTTGGTGGTTAGTTTTGAATGTCAACTCGGCACAACCTGGAATCACTAAGAAAAGATCTTCAATTGAGAAATCACTTAGATCAGCTTGGCCTGTGGGCTTGTCGGGGTTGGGGAGCACTGTCCTGACTGGTACTGGAGATGGGGGGAGCACTGTCCTGACTGGTACTGGAGATGGAAGACCCACCCTGAATGTGGGCAGTCCCATGTGGTGGACAGGATCCTGAATGAGAAAAGAGTGGGGGTGAAAACCTCAGAGAGGCCAGGCAGCATGTGAGCCGTCCTCTCTCACTGCAGTTGCCCGAGGGTGTGAGGTGACTAGCTGCTTGAGTTCCTAGAGGCCTGGAATTGTGAGCCACAACAAGACCACCAGTTGTTTATTTTGAGGACTGGCAGCCATGCTTCAAGCCCATCCTTCAGTCCCTCCCTCAGCTAGGGGGCCATAGAAGGAAGAGTTAACACCTGTGAAAACTTAGTGATCCCTGCCAGCTTGGTCCTACCTCAACTTGGTATGCCAGGCTTTGTTGACTCCCCATGGGAGACCTTACCCTTTCTGAGGGGTGGATTGGGAAGTGGGGGTAAAAAGGAGGGGAGGGGAGGGAACAGGAGGAGAGAAGGGAGGGGAAACCACGGTTGATATATAAAATAAAACATTTAAACCGGGCGTTGGTGGCACACGCCTTTAATCCCAGCACTCGGGAGGCAGAGACAGGCAGATCACTGTGAGTTCGAGACCAGCCTGGTCTACGGAATGAGTTCCAGGACAGGCTCCAAAACAATACAGAGAAACCCTGTCTCAAAAAACCAAAAAAAAAAAAAAACCATTTAAAATAAAAAGACAAATGTAAAAGTTAAAAAAAAGCTCAGTGATCAGACAGTGGTGTTCTCTCTTCCTGAAACCGAGGATGGTCTCCCCCTAAAAGAATGAGCTGAAAATGGGGTAAAGAACTCATTCATGACACAGAGAGGTCAGGATAGGCTCAAGGGAATTTTGAAAAGAAGCCGTAGGGATGCCTTCATGAATTGCATTTTCTGATCAGTGTTCACAAAATACTTTCACATCTAAATTTTTTAGATTATGTGCAGAAAACAAATAAAATAAGAGTGATCCCTCAGTCGGTGCCCCTTCCCCCACAGCAGGCCCATGGCACCTCTGTGCAACACTAAGGAATAGGGTTTAAATGCTGCCAATTAAAGGGTTTACATCCTGCAATGATGGAGCTGCAGATAACGACAGGGAACTCTGGAGAAAATACAAAAAGCAACTATTTGAAAGCTAGAAAGCAGACAGAAATGGGAGTGGAGGTTGTGAGTAGAGACCAGAGTAGAGTTTCTACTTGTGACAATTTGTCACTACATGGACACTGCGTTAGTTATCTTTGATGGCTGTGACAAAGTATCTGACAGGGACAGCTTCAATGAGCACAGGTGGCTTGTGGCTCAGGACCTCTGAGGGTTTGCAGGTGCTGTAGCTAGTGTAGGAAACTCATGGCCGTGGCCGTAGAGTGTGTGGTAACCCTGGGCTACACAGAACAGGTAGAGTGCTGGAACCAGGGGCCAGGCTGTGGCCTTCAAAGCCCTTCCCCACAGTAACTCACGTCTACCAGCTAAGCTTCCGCTCCCAAAGGTTCCATCGCCTCCCACGGTGGCACCACCAGCCAGGGAGCAAGCATTCAGAACATGAGCTTAGGAGGAGGGTTTCTGATTCAGACCTTAACAGAGGCCCAGCTAGAACTGGGATAGATTGTGGATGAGCTCCCCACACATGCTCAGGGTGACCGTAACAGCTGGAAACTGAGAAGGTAAAAGGTGCAGAAAGGAGGGAGATTCCACAGATGCACTGGCCCCATCCCCAAGATAAGAAGGGACACATTTCAGCCAGTAGAGCTAAGGGCAGGGGAACAGGGCTACTATGGAAACGGCTGCCCATCACAGAGACCTATGCTTAGAGTAGTGGCCAGGTGCGCTGCCTGCTAAGCTGGAGGTTCAGGGTTCTATCATGGTACCCTAGGGGTGTACCATTCAACGTGAGAGCGAGTAGATGGTCCAAGGTGAAGTTTGCTGTGCACATAAAATGTGTGAATAAAAATGCCGGTTTTCAAAGGGAATGCAATTATAAATATCAGCGATTAAAGATTGTAAGATAATTTAATAATATGAAATGGGATGGTGTGGATTACTACAATCATCCAGAATAACTGTATTTTAAATATGTTGGGGGGAAAATATGTGCGTGTGTTGTTATTTTTTAAGTATTTATGTATTACTAGGCAGCACACGTATGCCTTTATGCACGTGTGGAGGTCAGAAAACAACGCTGGGGAGTTGGTTCTCTCTGCCCCCTCTCTGGGTTCGGGTCTGAGTGGCAAGTGCTTTTGCCTGCTGGCCACTTCATGCTGATGTCTTTCCAGTTTGGTGGAGTTTGTTTTGCAGTGCTGGGGACCAAGCCTAGGGCGTCACACACGCCTGTTCAGTGCTCTACCCCTGAACTGTAGCTCCCGCCCTGGAGTATGCTACGGAAATTAAATGTCCGTTTCTTTTCACTGTTCCTGTGGCTGCTGGAGAAGGCAAACGACATGTACCCCTCATTTGTATGGAGCAGCACCGATGTGGACCAGTGACCAGTGAGTGTTCAGGGTGTGATTGGGAATTAGTAGGCAAACAGAGAAACAGGCCCAGCATCAAGAGAGATGGGAAGGCCTGACTCCAAGATGACACATGTTAGAATGAAAAGACGATTGTTTCTTGTTCTCTAACTTTCTTTCCAACATTTCCCACAACTCAAAGATAAATAAAAGCCAATAAAATGAATGGGCACAGGAACCTGTCTTCCTGACCCTGTCCCTCTATGCTATGTTTTTAATATTTTTATTAATTTTTCAAAAATGTTCAAGTTGGATAGTGGTGGTGCATGCCTTTAATCCCAGCACTCAGGAATTAGGAGCTGGTGGATCTCTGTGACTTTTGAGACCAGCCTTGTCTATAAAGCAAGTTCCAGGACAGCTAGAGATGCTATACAAAGAAATACTGTCTCGAAAAACCAAAAAAAAAAAAGACCCAAAATCATACATGTACACAATGCACTTTG